TTGGGAGGTCAAAGATTTTAGACAAACGACGAGGTCAAAGCAGCTGTAGACGCATATTTTGACTCTAAGGAAGAATCATTTTTTTTTCAACGGTCTAAATGCTTGGAAGGGGAGGTGGCAAAAGTGTATTGAACTTGATGGTGATTATGTAGAAAAAATAAAAGTATAACTGATTTAGTATGTGTTTATTTTCTTGGTTAGGCCAAGTACTTTTCAATCCACCCTCGTAATAAGGAGTCAAAAGGACGCAGCTTTATCGACGCCATTTCAACAATTGATATTATAGTAAATATTTTAGTGGATTTTAGTATGGAGTATTGTAGTCAGATTTTATTAAGTCGATTTTCGAAGTGTTGATTTTTGAAGTTGATTATTGCCAATGCTTATTTGCTATTTTTTTTATTAATATTGTTGCGCGGCTAAATTGACATCTGGCAATAGCGCCATCTAGTGTCAGGTAACGGAGCGAGGGGGAGAGCTTTCCAGAAAATGACATCACTAATCTTGCAACCGAAAGCGCCATCTGTCGTCGAAATGAAGAACTAAGCTTCTGGAAGCTGACTCTCGAACTTTCGGCGCTTTGTCGATTGGTGCGCGTATTTACTTGAATGTTCTGGATGATTCGGTACTAATGTGTATTTATAGGCGCTGCAAGGTGCGATCGGGGAAGTATTGAATTTGGCGAGACAAGCGAAGCTTCGGAGCGGAATAAAGTGAATTGGTGTTTGAAGTTTTAATTTGTGTAAAGAAAATTAAAGTGTTAATTTAGGTAATCCTATCGGCAATTTTTATTGTCACGAACCTCAAGCTCGTAACAATTGGTGTCAGAAGTGGGATAAAATCATGCCAATTTTACCTAAGGAGGAAACGGAGGGTGTCCGTACCCGAAGTCAACGCCAGCAGGAGACGGACCAAAGAAGATTTGGTGGTGCAACGTCGCAGACGTCGGAGGGCCAGCCGCCGGCTGCAGGCCCGTCAGTAGCTCCTACATCTGCAGCACCTGACTTAGGTGCTCTCATGGTGATGCTGAAGGAGCAGGCTCGCCGACAGGAGGAACAGGCCCGTGGTTTGGAAGAGCAGCTGCGGGGCGGACAAGAGGAACAGGTCCGTCGTTTGGAAAAGCAGCTACGGGACGGACAAGAGGAACAGGCCCGTCGGTTGGAAGAGCAGATGCTCCTCACGACGGACCTTCACGCTACCTTCGGGAAGGAGATCAAGGAGGTGAAGGATAGGGTAGCTCAACGTAGACAACCGCCTGTCAGAAGCTGAAACCCAAATCGCGAAAGCTGAAACCCGAATCGAGAATGCCGAAACCTGAATCGACCAAGTGAACAATCGGGTTGACAACGTAATGGCTGACATGAAGAAATCACTGGACGAACTCAAACTTGGGGATGGAACTACAACTCCCGTAGTAGCTACTACACCTTCGCTACGTGGGTTCAAGGTGCCACCGTTCGACGGGACTTCTTCCTGGTCAGCCTACAAAATCCAGTTTGAAGCCGTTATGAAGGCGAACGGCTGGAATAAAAGTCAGGCCATGACTGCTCTCACACTAGGCCTGCGCGACCAGGCCTTAACAGTTCTGGAAGCTCTCGGTGAGGAAGTGACTTATGAGCAACTGCTTGAGGCATTGGAGGCGAGATATGGTGACGCCCACCTGGAACACGTCTTCCGTGCGCAGCTTAAAGATCGCGTGCAGCGCATCAACGAAAACCTGCAGCAGTGGGCTCTAGAGGTGAAGCTGGTGCGAAAAGCATACCGGTCTGTACCTGCGCTCATTGAAGGGAACCTGGTGCAGACATTCATCGACGGCATCCGCGACCTGGAAGTCAGAGCTGCTATGAGGCTCGGGCACCACGAGACGCTTAAAGACGCCTTGGCCCATGCACTGGAGGTGGAAGCCGTGCGGCAGGATCATCGTTCCCATCGCGTCAGTGAGATTGCATTAGCTACAGTTCGCGACTGCAATAATGGATACAGTCCTAGGTGCTATGGCTGTGGGGAAAGGGGCCATCTTCGATCCAGCTGCCCTAAGCGAACCGTAGAAAGGGAAGGTGAACGATCTCGAGAGGATAGTGCAGCTAACGTCACCGCCTGGCGGTGGCAGGATCATCGTTCCCCTCGCGCTACGGAGGTTGCAGCAGTTACGGTTCGCGACCACAATAAAGGATACAGCCCTAGGTGCTATGGCTGTGGGGAAAGGGGCCATCTTCGATCCAGCTGCCCTAAGCGAACCCTAGAAAGGGAAGGTGAACGATCTCAGAAGGGAAGTGCGACTAACATCACCGCCCAGCAGCAGCCGGGATACGACTTTACTATCAGACATCGCAGCGGGAAATCTCATGGCAACGCAGATGCATTATCAAGAAGACCTTGTCCTGAAGATTGGAAACATTGTACTAGGCAAGAGAGTAAGGAAGTGGTATCTGTGAGGATACTCAGGACAGACCACCTCAGCAACGAAGTGGAAGGACAGCTTACGACATGCACAGCAGGAAGATCCGGGCATCAAGCCGATTCTGGAATGGATGAAGGCCCGTGCTACCAAGCCTAAGTGGAGCGACGTCTTAGCGATGAGTTCAACCACGAAAAGCTATTGGGCCCATTGGGACAGCTTGCTGATTCGGGATGGAGTCCTGTGCCGTAAATGGGACAATTGTCGAGGAGACAACTGTCGTTTGCAAATGGTTGTCCCTAAAGCCAAAGTGCCGAATGTTCTACAGTTGTGCCATAATGGTCGTTCAAGAGTCCATCTGGGAGTTAAACGAACTCTGCTGAAGGTCCGAGAACAGTTTTACTGGGTCCATTATCATGACGATGTTGAGGCTTGGTGTCGTACATGTACAAGTTGTGCGGCCGTGAGGGGACCTCAGACACGTCGTAGAGGAGCACCGAAATTGTACAATGTTGGTGCACCATGGGATAGGATAGCCCTTGACATTGCGGAGCCGTTACAGAAAGGCGCAAGAGGGACTCCTAAGATCGTCCATGTGGATCGCCTGGCGCATTATTATGGGGCCGATAATGCTCGGGACGTGCATATCTTAGGAGGGGGCAGTGTTGCGCGGCTAAGTTGACATCTGGCAATAGCGCCATCTAGTGCCGGGTAACGGAGCGAGGGGAGAGCTTTCCAGAAAATGACATCACTAATCTTTCAACCGACAGCGCCATCTATCGTCGAAAAAATTTAAAAAAAAATTGGTGTTTTAAGTTTTAATTTGTGTAAAGAAAATTAAAGTGTTAATTTAGGTAATCCTATCGGCAATTTTTATTGTCACGAACCTCAAGCTCGTAACAATATATTAGTTATAGTATACGACTTTGTGTTTTTGTATCTATCCTCCTTCTAGTTTTGGTTTTATAGAGCGGCAAAGCCTAAGGTGAGCATATTACTCTCATGTACCCATTGACTTCTATATTACTAGCGTTAGGACCGGGCCGACCGAACAACTAAAACGGACCAGTGCGCTGGCCCTAAAATAACAGTTTAGGGCCAACGCGAATCGGTCGACAGTTGTGCGCGCGTAGGACAGATTTGCCTGTCATAAATATGTCTAGTTGCGTGGTAAAAGGATGCAAAAATTACAATACAAAGATTAAAAAGGAATATGGGATATCGTATCATCGGTTAATAACTTTATATTAATTTTGTTACAATTAAATTATTATATAAACGCATTTTAAAGTTTTATTTTATAGTTAGTTTAGTTATGTTACCAAGATTAGGCCAGGGTTGGATTCAGACCCTCAAACATATTGTACATGCAAAACAAAATTATACTATTTTTAAAATATTGTATCATGTTTGACGTTTCATGTTTCTTTTTTCCCATGTGTCGGGATTTTGGCGTCACGCGTCTGGTTTATCTATACGTTTCTTTTTTTTATGGTTTTATTTTTATTTCTGTTTCATTTTTGTCTTAGTTTAAGTTAAATTTTGAATATTGGTACCTAATATATTTTATATTCAATAAGGGTAAAACAAAAAGAGTACAAAAGAAACCATATCTGCTTAATTGAATTTGAAAATCTGATTCATAAAATATTTTGAAATTTTGTTTTCAAACTTGATTGCTTCTGTAGCATAGATTGTTATCGTGGTAGCCCCTCATTATAGTTGTATCGAGGATGCAACATAAATGCATCGATCGAGCACCGATTGACCAGAAAGGGAGTTAATTCTAATTTTATTAAAAAAACGCGGTACTCATGTACTACAGAAAATCTTAATATCGTAGGGTTAATATTAAAAAGTAAAAGGACCCAATCTAAATAAAAGTCGACCTTTAGGTAAAATTATGGTATTTTCGCTTAGTATTATTACGATATTATATACTACAAACTATGAAATAATGGTACAATTAGGATAATTATACTACGAAATCCGACCCTGGTTACATCGTGTTATGATATGACGTTGGTATTATGATAGATGCGCTACTTTTTCTAGTATGAAAAAGTTATGAGTAAAATATTTAGATGGGCCTATCCTTCTTTTGAAATCATTGCATGTACCTTACTCAAAATAAGGTAATCAATACCTCTTTCAGATAAGGTCCCAGGTCCAACGAAGATGCATGAATACTTTCTGTCACCAGATTTTGGAAATATTTTTGTAAAGCCTTTCGTTGAAGCATATCCTGAACCTGAACTTAATCAGGACAACAATATCGTTCAGACCGAATTTCGTTCACAGCGGCCAGCCTCAACGGAGACTAGCCATCGGTGAAGGACAGGATTATAGTGCCCAAGTGTATGCGCATGCACAGGTGCACTCTCTATTCCCTTACTCTCATGGTCCGATGGGACGATAAACCGACACGAACGAGAGAGATCAGGCGCAGGACCAACGGCTTCACGTGCTTTCCGAGGCACGGGGATGAGACACCGCCAACTTCCTGGCTAGCATAAAATCTTGATCCATTGGCAACCAGTGTGGTCGGACTAGTAAGAAGTATTATTCTTAATATTAGTAACGATTATCAATTAACACTCACCAATATTACACAAATCATTTGTGCATGCTCGATAGTACGTCCTGAATGTGGAATCTGTTATTTCATGGTTTAGAAAATCTGGTGACTGTTCACAGCCGCGTGTAAAACTTGCCACTACTCCGGCGGGGTCCTATAATAAACCAAGATAACATAATTTTGTAAGCTTTAGTTGTTTTTCATTTGACATTTTTATATTGTATACCATATACTGAAGAAAAAAGGCATTCACATTTTTATATAGGATCTTTATTAGCTGGTAAATTTAATTCTTTATTTTTAATCTCTATCATCCATAATAATCTACTGCCTCTATCTTTATGCGTATTTGCTTAGTGAAGCTAATCTAACCATGATTATTATTAAATACACTATATTTTGAGCGAATGAATGATTCACGCTGTAATATTAGCTAATTAATTTTTGCGCCTATAATTAAAGTAACTCTAGTTGTTTTTTATTGTAGGCAGATTCGTTTATGTAATGTTAGTTGTCTAACTTTGTCTTTGACTTAATAATTACTAAAATTGTTGTTAAACAAGTTCGAAAACTAACAGGTTCTATATTGAGCGTGCATGTTTTTTAAGTATGTTCACAGATTTCTCAGAAACTGTTGAATTTATTTTAAATTTTAATGATTCTTATTTTATAAAATAGGTTATATAATTCAGAGTGGTCCAAAATTATAAAATTCTAGTGGTTCAAAAATACTAGTGCTAAGGGTGGTAGGCAAAAATGACAAGAAGTTTTTAATATAACTACGAGTATGTGGACGACATTCAGATTTAACAGTAGTAGAGCCATGCGGCAGCTTGTTGTTGCACGTATGGGCCGGCTCAAACCGCGGTGGTACCACGAACTCACAGAATACGGGCGTGAAGCTCAGCTTGCGCGTTTCGTCTGGTGAGTGCAGGTAGCCGGAGGCCCATTAACATGGTGGCGGAATTAAGTGAAGGTCTAACCCAGGAGGGTACCAGCACCCTTGGAGAATCCCTCATTGAGTATCCACGACCAAGTTACTCCACTCCTGAGCGTGGGTGCTCAGGCTACACCGCGTATTCTGGGAGGGGGGGGGGGCAAAATTTCACTCAAGACAGCAACTGCTCGGGCGAAGCTGAGCAACAAGACCAAGGCGACCCCTGCCACGCTCTCCGTGAATTTCTGCAATATCTGGGGACTTCATTCTAACCTAAACGCCGTCCACTACCATCTCGAGATGGCAAGGCCGGCTCTGCTCTTTCTGACCGAGACACAGGTGTCCTCTCTGGCTGATGCTTCGTATCTCTCCTACCCGGGGTACAAACTGGAACACTCCTTTGTGCCTCGAGCTGGAGTTTGCGTATACGTCAGAGAGGACATCTGTTTTCGACGCCTCGGCAGTCTTGAAGATTCGGACCTGCACAATCTTTGGCTACGTGTAGACAGCGACGACCATCCGCGCGTCTATGGATGCCTCTATAGGTCCCATATCGGTAATGCTGAAACTGACCGATTCTTTGACCACGTCCACGTCGCAGAGATCGTGATTCTCGGCGATTTAACGCCTATCACGCCGAATGGCTTGGTTCACGTTTAACCGATCATGCGTGGAGATCTGTTCATGATTTTGCCTTGGCATATGGTCTGACACAACTGGTTACTTCGCCTACGCGGATTTCAGATGTGGAGGATCATACACCTTCCCCGTTGGACCTGCTGCTGACCTATCATCCGGACGGAGCCTCTTTATGCTCCTCGGACCATTGTCTTATCCAGAGTGTGGTGCCACTCATGCTGAAATTGCGGTTGCATTCTGCAGGCTGCCACCGTGTTTGGCACTATAGGTTAGCCGATTAGGATAGGATGTGGTCTTTCTTTGTATCCTACCCATGGGGGCGGGTTTGCTTCTAGCCGGATGATCCCAACGTTGTTGCTGATTCTGTCGCTGATGTGGTACTTCAGGGTATTGAACTTTTATTCCTTCCTCTGTGGAGGCAAATCTCAGCCATGATTTGGTCGCTCCTGTAAAATGGCATCATGCTATAAGCTTGGGCTGACACATCAACGTTCCAGGATGTAAACATCAGCGCTCTAAAAAAGAAGTATAATTCCGTCCTTCAAAAGAGTAATTGCCAAGGGAAAGTCAGAGCACATAGGCAGAATTGGCGAGAAACAAGTTCGCCTTCCTTCTGGAACACGTGCAATCTGGTCTCGCCAAGGCTGTCCAGGGGAATTTCTGTCAGCCATCTCTTCCATCTCTGCACAGGGAGGACGACTCACTGGCCCATGCCGCAAAGGAGAAAGCCGATCTGCTAAGCTCTTTCTTTGCATCCAACTCAACGACGAGGGTAGTACGCTGCCGACCATCCCGCGGTGTGCCATAGGTGCATTTTACACAGCGCTCGGTTCGCAAATCACTCTTCTCCCTGAACATCCGCAAGTCGAGTGGGCCTGACGGTATCCCCCAATTGTGCTGAGGACGTGTGTTCCAGAGTTGGCACTGGTCTTAACGCGACTTTTCCGGTACTCCTACTCCCAAGTCGTAGTCACGAATTCATGGAAGACAGCTTTGATCCACCCGATACCTAAAAAAGGCGACCGCTCAGAGCCGTCCAACTATGCCTATCGCTATTACCTCCTTGTTCTCCAAAATAATGGAGTCCATTATAAACTGCCAGCTCATGGGGTATCTTGAGGATCACCAGCTGATTAGTGACCGCCAATACGGTTTTCGTCGTGGTCGATCAGCTGGTGGTCTTCTGGTCTACCTGACTCATAGATGGGTGGAGAGAGTAGAGTCCAAGGGGAAGGCATTATTGGCCTTTAGTTTGGACATTGCGAAGGCCTTCGATCAGGTCTAGCACAAAGCGCGTCTTTCAAAACTCCCTTCCTGTGGGCTTCTGAGAAATTGTGCAATTGGATCACCAGTTTCCTTGCTGATCGGGGCATCAAGGCCGTAGTAGACGGTGCATGATCTGATTACAAGCCTATTGACGCTGGTGTTCCACAAGGTTGCATGCTATCACTAACGCTGTTTCTTCTGCATATCAATGATATGTTGTAAACTGGTAACATTCATTGCTTTGCAGGCAGCAGGACTGGTAATGCCTTGTACACCGGCCATGCCAATATTTCTCGGGGAAACGTCGCCGAGTACCGGGACAAACTTGTGTCTGAAGTCGAGTCTTTGCTGAACTAAGTCTCGGATTGGGGGCGACTAAATCTAGTCCAGTTTAACCCTCAGAAGACACAAGTTTGCGCGTTAACCGCTAAAAAGAACCCCTTTGTCGTATTTCCTCAGTTTCAAGGCACTTACCTTGTTGCCTGGCTGATTATTGGACACACAGTTATGATCTCTTAGAGTTAGGACTAATATTTTGAAAGCTTAACATGCTTTCATTATTTAATTATATAAAAATTATATTCATAAAATAATTACTCTTTCCTATAATATTAATATATATTTGTTTACATATATTTATTTTTATAGTAAATAAAGAGTTTTGAGTCTAATAGTATTTGTAAATAAAGAGTTTTGAGTCTAGTAGTATTTGGACTATTATTTTCCCAATATCACGAAGTCTAAATTATTTTACGGCACGTCTATTACCAAATTAAGCATTTCTTCCAAAAAATGGCACGTTGGTACATAAAGGTACGCCACCCCTGCATTAACCCATTCTAGACTTATTACCTACATATTACTTTATTAACTCCTGCAGCTGATCTCAAAGAAGTTAAGAACTTAACTATACTTTTCTATACTTACAATGAATTCTTGTCGCATAATTGTGCAATAGGTAACAGGGCAATCGACGGTTGTTGTTGAGTTTGTTATTGTTAGACAGGATTGGTCTGAGTCCACTGATGAAAAACTGCACGCGTAGCATCGTAGTTGAGCTGCGAAAGTTATTTATTATCGATTTCCAATGCATTTATCATTTCATCCGAACGATTATTTATTAATGAATATATTATCGATCGATTAACTTATTGAATATATAATATATTCATATTATCGTTATATAGCAGTGCTGAGGTAGCAATTACGTAAAGTATGAGAAGTATATTAAAGAATCCAGTGGTCTGTATCTGAGCTCGAGTAATCTACATAATCTACTAATTTCAGAACTGCATGTGAGATGCGCCTCAGGGAATAGTAAAACTGTTTTTACTATGATCAGGGGCTTACACCGTAGCTTTAAGCCTGAAAGGATACCCAAGTTCGAACCCCGCCGACGCAAATGAGAAATGATTTATTGCAATTTTTAGTACTGATTGCTGATAAACGTACTCAGTGGAAGATGATAACATCGTGGGGGAATTTGCGTGTCCGAAAATTTTAAGCAGTAGTAAGTTTCGAAGACATTTCCTTGCTCTCACAGAAATCAGAGGAGGCCCGTGCCCAGCAGTAGGACGTATAAAGGCTGAAAATTTTATATTAAAGACATGCCAATATTTACTATAGTAGAGCGATAAAGATGCCCCAATCTCTCCTAATAGCTATTCTTTTATTACATATTGTGACGGCGCATTATTATTATTAATACTTAATTTCGACGTAAAGTCGTCTAAAATTATTTTAGAAGTAACATTTTAAACAATTAAAAATACAATAATAAGCATAAAGTTAAAATAAATTACATTTCAGACATTAAGTATTATAGTAAAATAAAGGCTTAATGTTGCCTTTCAAAATCATAAATTTATTAAAACTGTTAAATATTCGAAATGTATTAAATAATAGAAATACAAGTCGAAAATATTATAATAATAAAGATAAATAACATTAATAAAATAATTGTAAAATTGATCGAAAACTGTCTAAGTTATTGGCGTATTCATGTAGAGTAGCAGCGTGTTCTTGTATACATGGAGGGTGTTCGTGTAGATATTGCTTATATAAGGGAGCTGCCGGAGACGCATACTCAAGGGTGTACATATAATATATGGGGTGGTCGGGTGATCGACTACTATAGTACTGTTGCACAATGTATAGTCCTATAATAGGGACTTATGATAGTAAGGTCTATGATACAAAAGCATTATTATAGAAGGTCTCTATGATGCATAAGCATTACAATGGTAGAGTTGCGCGTTGAAGTCCTATATATTAAAGACATATGATAGTAAGGTCTATGCAAAAATGTGGAAGATCTCAAATATGTACAAGGATTATATTATTAGAAATAGGACTTGAAAGGGATTATTATATTGGCGTGTAGACTGCGTCCGAGACTAAGGTAAACTTGGACTCCCTAACCAATGTGTCCTAGACGTATCATCTTAGTGCCCATGGTAAGAGGATTTGTTGTAGCAATAACGCTTGCCCGTGGATATCGCACACCCATACCGTTTGTGGGCGGCGTCGTTGTGCATAGCGATGCGTCGTCTTCTTTCGGATTGAGATGAGTGTGTTTGGTAGCAGTTTTAAGTATAAAAAGCATACTCAAATCCAAAGCGCTATGATGCGACGATTTTTGACTACTGGCGTCTTAGTAGCGTGCTACTATAATACGCTGGTGTTGCTCTTTTTCGCTGGTACTCTAAGAGAGTGTTCCTTACCCGAGCTACGATACAATTAATATAGCTGCAGCAAATATTTCAACGTGGTAGAGCCATGGCTCAATAATTATTATATTTTAAATATATACACTTATACCCAAGACCTCATGATTAATATAATAATTGGCTATTAGATTTTACGGTCGGTTGCCACCTGACACCAAGGTCTTAATCTTCCTGGAAGACTTGAGAGCCGCCGTTGACCAGAATAGGTTCATCCGCCGCCTTCTCTAATGAACTCTCAGACCTAAGAGTCCATCACAAACGAGGACCTCTACTCCGCATATGTCGGAAAAGCTCCTCTATTGGGTTTGATAACGGAGTTTTCTCTCCGGCCTTTTTGGTCCGCGGGAGGTATTTTATTTCCCTCCTACCCTTCAACAACTGGAAGCTGTTGATGGGCATTCCTCTATCCGCCGCCTTAGGACGCGCTCTCTAGGGTTAAGGCTCCCCCGAGAGCAATATAGGAAATCTCTAGAGTTAAACGGATTACGCATAAGCAGAACCAAGACAGAGTACATGGTATGCAACTTCAACCCCGACGAAATTATACCATCAAGTGCGGAAGTCAAATTGGATGGCGTAGCCTTACCTAGAGTAAATAAATTTAAATACCTCGGATCAATAATCGCGGAAGATGGATCGATAACAGCCTACATAACGCACAGAACGATGTGTGAAATAAGTGGCGTACATTAACAGGAGTCCTCTGCGATCCAAAAATGCCGATAAGAACCAAAGGCAAGGTCTATAAAACAGCTGTGAGGCCTGTTTTACTCTATTATAGCGAAACGTGGGCTTCAACAAAAATCCATGAGCAAAAACTTCATGCTACTGAAATGCGCATGTTACGTTGAGCGGGTGGAGTCACTCTCAAAGACAAAGTGCGTAACGAACACGTAAGGGGGGAGTTTCAAAGTAACGCCTATCACTGATAAGATTAAAGAGTCCAGGCTAAGGTGGTACGGACATGTTATGCGTAGACCCGATGACCACGTCGTGAAAAAGTGCCTTTCCATGGCTACAAAAAGGAGAGGGGGAGGTAGACCGCAAACTACCTGGTTGACAAATGTCCGGAAGGACATGCTAAAGCTCGGCCTTACAGAAGATGATGCTTACCAGCGAATTGAATGGCGCCGAAGGATTAAGAAAGCCGACCCCGCGTAACGGGAAGAGGCGAGGGCAAAGAAGAAGAAGAGAAGATACCCAAGACCCGACTCAACAGGTTAGTAAAACATAAGGAAGGACCGTTGGGGAGAATATTCATTTGTATTTAACATTTTAAATCATATTATTATGTAGGTTAAAAATTAACAGACAATTTAAACTATTTAAAAAAAAACATACATAGCCGGTAGGCGGAGATTACGGACTTCCATTTGGCACGATACTGATACTCCTCTTTCGCTTTTTTCGCATTCTTATGTCAACGCTGATAATAAGCTCCTTGGTTAATGCACAAAATAAATAATAGAACTACGTAGTAAAGGGTACTCAGCTCATCTACAACACCTATATCACTAATTTGATCGATAAACTATTGCAATACAATATTTAATATTAGAAGAATAATTGTAGCACGAATGGGTTGGCTCGACTGGGGAAGGACCACGCTCTCACAGAACACCAGCGTAAAATAGTAGCTTAATGCTGCTGTGTTTCGTATGGTGAGTGTAGAGAACCGGACACCCTTTTTACTGGAAACGAGGCATTTCGTCTTAGTCCTCACGGGTGACAACGCATCAGTATTTTGATTTGTAATCGAGAATAGATGTAGATGTCTATGGGCCACAGCATCCACTTACCATCAGGTGGACTGCGTAAAAATAGTGTTAACAGTTTCGTGAAACATTTTATCTTTCAAGAATTATGTAGATTCTTAGAAATGTTTCAGCATTCTAACTTATCTACTCGTTGTAAATTATAACCAGGTGGTAATAAACAATGTTACTTACCTGAAGTTGTTTTAATTACACTTAAAATTAGCAAAATAAATATTGTGTATAACATTTTAGTAACATTTAAGTAAAAGTTTTTTCCCGAATCGATTAAGTAGAAGACTGACGCATAACTAATTAATTAGTTTGTATCTTATCTTTGTCCATTCGTTTGTTGTGTTTATTATCATTGATATATCAGATATGCTCGCTGTAGATATAGATAGGTGATTTATATTTAGATCATGTTATAAAGATTTAAACGGTACTAATTAAGGTTAAGATGGCGTCATCATTCTTTAAACAGTTTATATCTAATTAAATAAAAATAATTTTACTGAGTTTATGGCGTTTTATTTTTACGTATCAGGAGATTGACAGCACCCTTGATTACGGAGGACTGAGGTGTTTGACATCCTGATGGTTGTCTGATAGTTTACTGTCACAGACACCTTACCGCCGAATTCCAGCAAGTTAAACAAGTTTTGCACTACAACAAGCATCGGGCTTCTTCGTCCAGTGACCGATTGCCACAGTCGAGCGATATATATCAGAGGATTTATAGACAAGATTGGCTACATCTTAAAGAGGGCTTCCGTAAGGGTCAATTATCTCTGTTAGCTTGTATGCATGTATGTTATAAATAAATAAATTCACACCTCTGTGTGACGCGTCTCTACGCGACGCGACGCGGCGATGCTTGAAGACGTGGGAGGACGACGTTGAGCTGGCGCTATACGCGGACGATAGCGCCTATTTCACCTCGTCCAGAAGAGCCCACATAGCCACTGCCAGGACCATGGCTGGACGAGTGGAGGATGGTCGTCAACGTTGGTAAGACGACCGCTCTGCTCACTCGCCGACTCAGAAAACTACCACCTCCGCTGATCCTCAATGGCCAGAAGATCGCGTACGAGAAGGCCGTGACCTACCTTGGGTGCCGGATTGACAGGACGCTGCGCATAACCGCGCACGTCTACTCGTCCGCAGAGCCCGATGTGCGCGGGCGACGCTCTTGCCAGTCTTGGCATCCAAGCTGCCAACAAAGACCAAGCTCCGGATATACAAGATGCATATCCGGACCATTATCACATACGCTGATCCGGCCTGGTACGCGCTTCTGAGCGACCCTCTGAGGCGGCGACTGCAGGCCCAGCAGAATCTGTCATTAAGGACGATCGTTGTGACGTTGTTACTACGTCCGCAACGACGTCATAGCGGCCGATCTGAAAGTTGAGAACATCACCGACTTTGTGGCCCGGCTGGCGCGCGGCATGTTCGACCGCGCCGACAACGGGCCACATGAACACCTCAAGGGCTTCGCGCTGTTGCACACACGGCCCCCGGACGGGCGACTTCTTCCAAGAGAACTCCTCTCTATAGAGATTAGAGAGTCGAGTAACAACCCACAATGCTGCTGATAGGTCAACTCTGACTTTTTATTGGACAACCTCCTTTTTTCCAACTACGGACTATCCTATCTGTGATTACCAAGCCTAGAAAAGGCTCCTAGGACTGGCTCATAGTCGTGGGCCATGAGGAAAGTCCGGGCGATGGGGGCATACCCCGAGGCCCGAGACCTGCATGACCTATAGTCCTTGCAGATGACAATACGAAGCTTGAAGACGCCATTTTCGAATTACCTCAATAATATGTTATCTTTTCGTGTAGGTAATAAGTAAAGTTATATTTGTACCACCGTTTTTAAAAGTGCGCGCCACGTCGTGTCTTGCTCTTTTAAAGATAGTGCTTTATTGTTTCTAAAGATTGTTTCATATTTTTAGTTTATAAATATAAACCTTGTTCATTGAAAAAAATACATATAAATTACATCAACAGAATCTAGGGATATTTTATATTTAATCAAATATCTAAAAATCTATGAAGAATTTTCTGACAAGTGTATTATATAGAAGAACGATAGGTTATTTTAAGGTGTTTAATAAAAAAAAAACTCGTATTTTCTTTGTTTTAAATAAAAACTTTAATTCTTTTATTCGCCGTAGAAAATTAGTACGATAAAAAACTTCATTTCTTCATATAAAACTATTCATTTTGATTTTTATTAAAAAACTTATTAAATCTAATTATTAATGGTCAGTGTTGCTACCTCTTACATTAATTATACATCGACATCGATTATTCATACTTAAAATTAAATTGTAAATGTCTTGCTGCGGTATTGAGGTCCCATGTTCTGTGCACGTGTTCGTAAAATTGTTGTACCGTCATTATATGTGGCGGAAAATCTCTCAAAGCTTTTAGTTGTGAAATGTTCCAGGCTTACTCGATAGGATTTCGGACGATTGTGCAGGCCAATTCAAAACTTGAATATCTTGGTTTCGGAGAGGGGTCGATCGTGCATGAGTTTTGAGTGCAGAAATTCCTTGTGGTATTTTTGTGCAGTCATGCTGCCTTGGATCCAAACGAGCTGGGTTCGTCCGCCAAGACAAATTTCTGCCCACACCATGATTGTCCCAATGTTGTTGGTATAAGTGGACCTCCTGAGGGTGCCATAGACGGCAAACTCTCCCTGGAGTTCTTTAAACGCGTGTTCATCGTAAATGCGGATAAAAACCTAAGCCGGAACTAACTAGCACTAAAGACCATTGTTGGTCACTCCATGGTAAATGCTCCCGAGCCCACGAAAGCCGTCGTCGCAATGCTGGACACGAAACGGTCTTCGACCATGAAGACTAACTTCATGCAACCTCCTTCGCACGGTTTGGTCGCTTACCAGCAGCTGGTGGTCCACCTGGAGCCCTTGTAGTAGTTGCATCGGTGTGATATTGGGTTGTCTTCTGGTGGTTATTTGGAGAAATGAATCCTGTCTCCTCGTAGTAACAAAATATCTACCCGAGTGCCGTTCAGCCATATTCCCAGGTATGTCATAACCTTGATATCACGTTTTGGCTTGTGGTAACGTTGGGGCCATACGCCTCAGCAACGACGCGTTGCATAGCACTATTTTCTAACACGCCCACGCCCCGTAACATTTCATCTTGAATCAAGTGACGACGTGACATGACTCTTAAAGCTCACACCACGGCACGTTAAATTAAAAAAGAAAAACAACTTAATCCCTTTTCATGAATTAATATCAATAGACCAATTTTAATTTTCCTTAACGAAATATTAACGAATTTCCGCCGTATGTCGGTTTTTCTTTTGTTTTTTTTTTTAATTTACATTTCTGAATTTTGAGAATAGAATCAAAGAGATTTCGTTCTTTATAAAAACTTTTTATGGAAACTGAAAAGATTATAAACTATAAAGTCATAAATAATTTAGGATTAAGGTATCCCTAATTTCTGTTGATGTGTTTATATACCATTTTACATGGTGATCAAACAAACAAACTTCAAAACAAAAACTCAAATTTCATTTATACAAACATCCTCATCTATGTGTAAAGATTTTTTTATTTCTTTTATGTTTATAATTTCTAATAAATATTGCATCGGGGAAGGAACTGAATCCTGACACTTTGGGAGTCATGTCTTTCATTTTGTTGTTTCAATATATGTAGTTTTATAAATAAATTTATTATTGTTGTTGTTAATATTTCAAGTAATTTATTATATATAGGATGTAATTGGCTTTGTTGGACAAAGACAATTATATCCTATATAAAATCCATACAAATAGAAAATGTGATAAGAGAGTAAAAGCGATTTAGGGGTAATCAAATATGACGATTTTTTTTCCAATTAAAAACTTCCTTTTTAACCTTGCGCCTCTCGGCACGTTTTGAGGATAATTAGCCACTGTCCGGAGGTAAGGTATATATAGGTAGGTAGGTACTATATATAGGTAGGTCATAACTAACAAAACGAGCCCAAGCTCAGCACCTATTACTATTACTACTCTTCGAGGAGTTCCAGCTGCATTCACCGAAGTATACCTTCAGGTCACTCCGTCAAGTCCAGGGGTAAGGCCCAATCATAACTAATATAATGAGCACAATCTCGGCACACCTAGTTTACACCTACTCGTCAAGGATTTCCAGTAGCAGATACCAAAGTATAGCTCCAGGTCACTCCATAAAGTCCAAGACGTATAAGTAAATTTATATATGTAAATCCTACGTACTTTTAGTGAAAGAATATCTTGTAACAAAAATCCATGATTATAATAATAATAATATCTTACTTTGTTGGACAATGCCAATTACCTACCTCCTAAACTAAATCATAATACTATTAAATTGTGTTTTTACGTTATTCTATACTCGATAGATTTATTTCGTTACAACACTTGCTTAGGTACAAACCACATTTTTAATCATATTATTCGGATAGTAGATAAATAATTCTTTGGGTTTCCTAGTCTAACGCAAGTTACATATTATATAATTGACTGTGAGTAAGACATGATTCTTTTAAATTTATACCACAATATCTTATCATTTGCCCTTATGCCTTATTAATAGTGATTTATTAATGCCTAATTAATATGATTCTAATTTTACTGGGTGTATTTATTCAATGAAAACTGCAATTCAGTAGATATGAGTGGAATCCTCAAATTAGGTAACTGACTTGACCCTTTATCTTTTCATGGCCTGATTTTTGGTTCAATTCGTAAATCAGTTATTGCTTAGTATCAGTTTCACGGTCATTTTTGTTTTCCAAATAATCTAGGTAGGTCCTAAATTCTTAACAAATAATCGATGATCTTATATAAAAATCTTAGATGATATAACGACATTTCTGGTATTTGCATTGATTTCTAATATTGGATGGATAATAAACCCTTCCATTTGCATGAACTATTGAATCGAAAGCAGCTCACTTGGAAGCCTCATGTTGAGGATCTAACGACTAAGCAAATCCACATATGCGCTTTCTCAACTTTCGAAAAACGTTAACAGCCAGGCTCTTTTGATACCATACCCTGGACAAGTTCTTCCGTTTTGCGATATGGCATTATTTTCTTGGGGTAGTCTCGTGATAGGAAGCTTGTATTTAGGATGCAAAAACGATGTGTAAGGTCAATGTGTGGTCTCAAAACAACTTATTTTAAATCTTTAAAAATCCTAAAACAGCCATAATTGTTTATTCTGGAATGAGCTTTTTCTGTAAAAGAGAATCCACTTCTTTTTCAAAATTTATCTACAATTAGAAACAATCCAATACGCATCCACTACGTAAATATATAAAATGTAAAACATTACTAATGAAAAAAAAAACTTTTATGGTATTGCCCCACGATTTTATAATAAACTACCTGATCCAATAAAAATATGACCTTTTTAAAAAGTTCTAAATGAGTTATTAATAGACAAATATTATCATAAAATTGACGAGTTCTTGAATGAAAATTTTGAATTATATCGACTTTTATTATTTTTGTTAATGTCATCGATTTAATTTTATCAATATAGATTTTAATTAGCATTCCAAATTCATTAATTTTTATTCTATTTTATTTTATGGCATGATTCTCATAAGAACACATAATTATATTTGTATGTTTTTAAAACAAAACATAGCGTACTAATTGTAACCCTAGCAAGACCTTAAAATGTTTAAATCTACCTACGTTTGACAAATAAACTATTCTGATTCTGATTGATTTACTTATTATTTAGTTTTGAATTTTTAAAATAATATTGTACTACTTTATTTCTTTCTGCTAAAATGACTTTCAAACAACTTGAATTTATGTAATTCTGAACAATGTTTGTTTTTAACTGTACTTTCTTCACTTGAGACTAAGATAATTTCTCAATTATCTCACTGAGATAATTTCTTTCAGCATGCTTTAATTTCATCCATTAGAGTTGATTTTTGAACAAACCGAAAATCTCCAGAAATTATTAATAATGCACCTCCCATTCATTATGAAATACCTTGGGTCTATGTTGTGTTCTATCTAATGCACGAATAATATTTTATCCATCATTGTACATTCGTCCCAAATGATTACATTATACTATTTTAAAAATGATCTCGTTCTATAGCTTATTATATCACAAACCAGAAATTCTTGTTCTGCGATACGCAGAATGAGCAGGTCTTCCTTGCATTAATATTGCCAAGCAATCTCAAACTTTTTAAAACACGTCATTCAGCCAATATTAACTTCTCTTTCCGGTATCTCCTGGTGCACCTAAATAGTTTACTCAATCAATACGCCTTGCTTTGACTTCAGGACAATGGTTTGTTCTGAGGGATTTTTTTGTGATAATTTATTTAATGTTATTACTTTTTTATTTTAAAATACAATGTATTGATTTTATTTCTTCTTGGTGCTTGCGTGACGAGTTCAACTTAATTTTAATCGTTATATGCTTCATTAAACATTTCTTTGATTATTGCAGATAGATCTAAGCACTTCATCTGCGATTATTTACAGCTTTTTGAAGTGCCAACTCCCAATGTCAACCAGACCATCTCTACTCTGTTGTGTAATCACTTACAATAGCACCATTAATTATCACTGTAGTATCATTGTGACCGCCGATTTGCTTGAAATTGTCTGCACGTATCCATAGACTGGAGTAGCCATGTTTCATCATGCGGACTGCTATATATAAGTACGTGAGGGTAATATGGTCATCCGGTTAATATGATCACTTTCTTGTAACTCAAAAATTACAGCCTTGTTTGCATAGAAGGCTATATGATACGATAGCTCTTCATCAGTCAACTAAATAATAAAGAGTAAAAAGGACGCAGCTTTATCGACGCCATTTTAACAGTTGATATTATAGTAAATATTTTAGTCGATTTTAGTATAGCGCAATGTAGTTAGTTTTTATTAAGTTGATTTCTGAAGTGTTCCTAATTATTGTCAAAGCTTATGTGCTTTTTTATTATTATATTAGTTATAGTATACGACTTTACGTTTTTGTATCTATCCTTCTCTTAGTTTTGGTTTTATAGGGCGGCAACGCTTAAGGTACCCTCATGTACCTTAGTGATATTAATGATATTAAGAAATTACCCCACGCATGGAGTAATTTTCGGCAGAGTTGTAAAGGGGCCAAAGAGCCACATGTGTCTCGAGATTCATGGTTTACCGACTAGTACGGATTTAGGAGTTCATCATAAATAGACCAGAGATGGTCAAAATACATCCAAAATGCAGGTTACTGTTACTGATCACAGTATTTTGAGTCAACGGACGGACAGAAAATATAACATTATTTTTTATTTTTATGCGAAAAGCTAGCTAAGGATAAAATGACCAAAGTTTATGATAAAATATTTATTATATGTGTATAAGCTAATGGGAATATTAATAACAGTGAGTAACTAATATCGCATTTATTTAATAATCGTGCAATTTAAATTATAACAACACAAATCTTATCTTTATTGTTGCCTTACAATTAGGTATGGTGATAGAAGCTATATTTCTACCCTACGTACTATTATTTATTCTGACTCTACTCATACCCAGTGTTAAAAGATCTATCAGTGATACATTATAGGCTTGTTAAACCTTGTTTGAATTAATTAGCTTATATCCGCGTGTCATAAAACGTGTTTTATCTAGTTTGGAGCTCTCTTCAAAGAAGTTAAGACATTGTATTTTTAATGCTGATCTAAGCTAATTAATATTTACGTATTTAATAATTCAGCAAAGTAACCTCTGATTCATTAAATTTCTTTATACACTGTATTATTATTATCTATGACATATATCTTGAGTGGGGCTTAAGACTGGGCTCTCCATGCGTTCATCGATAATAATTGTTTTCGATATACTAATATTTCAAGCAACAAAATAATTAATGCTGATATCATCCCGTAAAGCAACGTTAACAGCGCCGGGTAGAAATCTATCATGTTGACTGAGCCGAAGTTTCCGCCCTTGGCGATGCATATTGGCTTTTTTGAGTATATGATTTTATTTATACGTACATTAAAACCGTGCTCTTGACTTCTGAATGATCTGAAAAAAAAAAGTATTTTTTTTTACGCCAGACGTCAATTTTCCAGATAGGCGTCGAGGGGCGAGCATGACTACTCGATTTAACTTTCTATATTCGTTAAAGCTAATCTTTTTTTTTTGGCTACGAGTCCGTCTTGGTAGGTATCACTTTCTTACCCATTTCTAATCAAATAGTAGCAGTGCTTGCACTGATGTGTACCGGCTTTAAGGATATACATACAGTAGAACGACGATTATCCGAACGCCGATTAACCGAATCGCCAATTATTCGAATCGGTCCTAAGCGTAACATAAAAAATTAAAACCAAGTACTGTAAGTAAGTAGTATAATTTTTGTTTTGATTTGTTGTAACAAGTTGGAACTCGCTGGAGTCCAAATATATTTCAACTGTTATGGTTGAAAGCTAGAGGCAAGACACTACATGTTTTGCGTCGCGCGGCTTTGTTTTTTTTTCAACTCAATAACATTGAATTACTGTCAGTAAGCTCCTCCCTCTCTCATTGTGCAAGTTTATTCTATGAGTGACAGAGTTTTGGCGGGAACTTGGCCGTTGACGGATTGTTGCTCTTGTTTTATCGTTTAAATAATGGTTTGAAGTTGATTTAGATTCGTAAAAGTGATGCGATTTTGTGAATTAAGGGTCTGCGCATGTAAACTATTAGAGAAAACGACGAAACACGTGCTTCGATGTTGATATAAACCTCAAGTCATTTTGATCGCTTAGGCGCTTTATGAATTGAGTGACTATCGTCATCAACTATCCGCTGGGTAAGCTGTCGACAAAATCTCCCAAAAACTTTACATTATGGCACATCAGCATATTGTGAAGAAAAAATCTATAAAAATGAAGATCCCGAAAAAATTATAGGCTCAGAAGGGCTAGAACCTAGAGCAGTAAAGCCAGTTAAATAAAAAAATGTGTGTGACAGTTCGTTTTTCTTTATTACTATGTCCGATTATCCAAATTTTTGATTATCCGAATCGACCCCGGTCCCAATTAATTCGAATAATAGGCGTTCTACTGTAGCTAGTATAATTATCTACAAACAGTGAGACATTCTATCTTGATGTTTCTTTGCGATGTTTTTCTTTACTGATTAGCACCTAGTTAATCAGAACTTGATATATACATTCAATTTCAATAGTGCTGACGGGGATCGAATTCAGGTTATTCGAATACTACGAGTATAAAATTGAAGGCTAATACTTATCCTTTGAGCTATTACGGCCTTAATAAAAATATTAAATAATTCAAGAATTCTTACCCTATTTTGAAAATTTCTTTATAAGGAGAGTCTTTTCGGCAAGCTTGCCATGGTTTGTTGTTTAAAAAATACGAAATTTCACGAAGACCACACTTTTCATGTTCATAAAAATATTGTTCTACTAATCGGTATCCCAACCCAGTATTCATATTGAAAGCGAATGGTTCCTGAAAATTGTATCGTATCATAGTGATCAATTAATGTCATTATAATTTCAACAAATTTAAGAATTTATTTTTTATTATATCATGTAGCTTTGACTGCGTTTGTACCTTTTGAAGTTTCCTTACTCCGTCCTCCAATTTCATGAAATTTGGCTTTGAACCACGCGGAGCGATCTTATGTTGATAAATCGCTTTTTTAACTGGTTCTGTCGCAGTCTGCGAGTGTAAATATGAAAATAAACAATTTTAATTTAATTTATCAGGCTAATCATCATCATCACCATTACAGCCCATCACAAGTTCACTGCTTAACATAAGCTTCCCCACAAAAAAGCACGGTTTTTCTAAGAAATGCCCCAAAACGCGGTCCTGAGTCTCCTACATCCTGCATCTCTTAGCTGGTCGTCACTGCATTTAGTGGGGTACCACCCTACAAATTTCTTACAGGTACGAGGTTGCCACTCAAGAACCTTTCTTCCACAACGGTTGTCGGTTCTTCGAGCTATAGTACCACTTCATCTTATTGATCCCTTAGGCTATGTCGCTTACTTTGGTTCTCTTGCGGATATCATTATTTCAATGCCTATCACGCAGAGGAACTTCTAGCATAACATCTATTGCTCTCTGAGCGACTTTTTTTGCGCCCGAAGCAAATAAGGGTGAACAAATAACACTCCGGTAACGAGGGAGGAAGGTGGAGAATGCTCATAGCATACCACGCAGCCGGCTGCGTGGTTATGTGGAGACTTTTACCCACTAAACTCCACCTTTTAGAGACTGGCTTAATAATCTAACTAGAGGTCTCTAAGCCTTATCGAACGCGACCCCCCTTGGCAGAAAGGGTGGTGCAAAGCTGAGCGACCTTGAGCTTCCTCATATGGCCAGGTTTACGTCATAGATTCAACGAGGCCGTCTTAGTCATCTAGGCGGAAACGCAATAGCCTTTTGACTATTTATCGATAATAGATGTAGGTTGATGCCATACAATATCCATTTAATACGTGGTAGAGTCATTCTACCAGCGAAAAATAGCAGCATAATGTTTCTGTTTTGTGAGATTTATATTTCGAAGGACAATGTTACTTAAGTATTTCCCGATTTACAGATGAAGGTGATAATATTTATGTTGGTTTTGGCAAAAAGTTGTATTGTTTTAGCAATAGACACAATATATAAATTTAAAGATAAATCATTTAATTTAATCATTTAAATTAATTTTTAACGTGTAGTTGCGGTGTGAGAAATAAGGCAGGATGGGCAGTAGTGACTTCCTAATAACAATTTGAAAAAAAAAATTGCACTTACCAAACCATATGTGAAGCGTGACTACTATGGCAAACATGCGCAAAACTGAATCTACATAAATAATGTTTATGTATGTATATAGTAAATGTAAATAAGTTCTATTTTTGACTAGTTTTAATTTTAATTTTTTATTTATACAGCAAGACTTGGTGCGTATGATGCATTAACTGATGTTTCCAATGAGGCAGAAAGTGAACATCATAATATGTTGTTACAGGGTAGTGATAGTTGAGTACATGGGTTGAGTAAGACTTGTCTATAAGGTTGAGTACCAATATCAGTGGTAAATAAAAATGACTTTCAATAAGTATTATGTAATAAACTATATTTATTATATTTTATTCTATTTTTTTTCTAAATAATAATATAATAGGTCAACTTGACCGCATTCAGCGGCGAGGAGCCGGAATCGTCGACGACCAAGTTCTTTCCGGTCGGCTTGATCCCCTGGCCTTGAGAAAAGATATATAAAACTGGAAGTACTCAGAGAAATTGCTCTGATTAATTCCAGATGCTAAATTCCACCATTGTACACTTTGACAGAACTTATCTCGATGGTTAGGGGTCCACTAACGTGCGATTTTAACGGAATTTTCTGTCTCGCACGATCATACTGACCATACGGTGAAGTTTACTGTAGTCAGCGGTTATTCCGAACCGGTACGACTTAAGGGCCTTCAAGAAAAGAAGTTACTCCTTTTTAAAAGGCGGCAAATGTGGTGGCTGGCAGGTGTTGCAAATGTTCATGGGCGACGAAGATCACTTATTGTCAGGTTAGCCGTACGATCGTTTACGGTTAAGGTAAATTGCTTATTGCATGTGTGTAGCTCAGTTTGTATTGAAAATGTCATCAAAATATAAAAAAGACATGTTTATTTTTTATCTTGGCAAACAATAGTGTACGAGTATTACCCGTTTACTACTCGCCTAACTACCAAAACTACCATACCAAACTATAAAAAATATTATATGACTGAATGAGCAGTGCACAGATAAACTATAATTATACAAGTCAGAGAGAGTACGAACGACGTGCGTTGTGTATGAGGTACGTGAGGGTAAATTTCACCTTAAGCTTTGCCGCCATATAAAACCAAAATTATGAGGAAGACAGAGACAAAAACAGAAATTCGTATACAATAATTAATATATTAAGAAAAATATAGCAAACAAACTTAAGAATAATTAGGAACACTTCAAAAAATCAACTTAAAAAACAATACTAAAGACATGATTAAAACTACTTTTATGGATTTTATCGCGTTTATTTTTACTTTTTATTTACTTTTATTTTTAATTCCCGACGTTTCGGGCGCTTTCCAGCACCCATGGTCACGGGAGACTGAGATGACTAACGTCCCGATGTCATTGTTAAACCGCCTCCTTCTGTATTGAAATTGAACTTGAATGGGTACTACCACCTGCTTGGGATCCTATAATCAATAAAATTAAAACTAAACCCAAGCATACCACTGCAAGACCTCAGGACATAGTCAGTTCATTTTGCATAGATCGGACCATAAACAATAATTAAAAAAGCTGAAGGTACTCCGGGTTTAACAATGACATCGGGACGTCAGTCATCTCAGTCCCCCGTGACCATGGGTGCTGGAAAGCGCCCGAAACGTCGGGAATTAAAAATAAAAGTAAATAAAAAGTAAAAATAAACGCGATAAAATCCGTAAAAGTAGTTTTAATCATGTATAGTGTTTCGCGTAAATATAAGAAATCATTATAATACTAAAGTCGATTAAAATATTAACTACAAAGTCAACTGTCAAAATGGCGCCCATAAAGCAGCACCTTTTTGACAATTTATTATTTTATTTACTGATGAAGAGCTATCGTATCACAGAGGCATCTACGCAAATAAGGCTGTAGTTTTTTAAGTAAAAAGAAAGTGACAATATTACCCTGACGTACTATTATAGTTGGTAAAATACGTAGGTTTACCGAAAAATAATGTCTGTTGTAAGATATATCCTCTGCACCAAGTTCCAGTCTGGAGTTGAGGAGGTCCGATAGAGTGCGGATTTGGTTAGAAGTCGATTGCAGCAAAGCCACAATACTCGCAGAGTACGACGTGTACAGGAACACGAAGGCAAAAAATAGTATGAACATCACGACGCGTCCGAGAGAGCCTGTAGCATCCAAATACAAAGTGAGCCGTGGTGAACAGTGTTGAATCGCGTTATGCATTCTGATATGTACTGACCTTTTAGTTCCGTTGAACTTCCTTGCTGTGACATAGCACTTATAACCAAAATAGCAATGTCGCTTATATTTGGTTGCAGTGTGGTATGTTCCGTCTGGAAGTTGTTTTAATTATACTTTTCCTTTATAATACATATTATTAACAATTTATTTTACATAATTTAAACTCGTTAAAGTTTTAATGTGTTTACACATATTAAAATTTTAATACCCACTCGTAAGTCAGAGGTTCATAAGTAAATAAGCTGTGTGTGAGAATAAATATGTTTTATGAAACTTTCAACTATAAATATTATGATTATCAAAGAATTTGAGGGTCATTGATTAAAAAATATGATTTTAGATTTAAAAATATGATTCAATCGGCATAAAAAAGCCTAGAAGTTCGAGTTCCCTTTTTTAAAGTGATAATCTTAAGATATTTTTCGAAAACGTGAAACGCTACGAATTTCACATTATACAAGCTGTCTGTTTACCATACCACGCGATGTAGCATGTACTCGACGGTGAAGAAAATTGTGAACCGTGACGACTCTTCTTGCACGACAAGGACATAAATAAAATTAAAAAAAAGTACTAAGTCCGTGTGTATTCTGTCAAACCGCATTGAAGGACTGCCTTTTTTTATAGAATAGAGGTGAAAACGAGCACACAGTCCACCTGATGGTAAGTGGATGCTGTGGCCCATAGACATATCTACATTTATCCTCAATTAAGAATCAAAACGCAGATGCTTTGTCACCCCTGAGGATTAAGATGAAATGCCTCGTTTCTAGTAAAAAAGGGTCTCCAGATCTCTACACTCATCATACGAAACACAGCATTATTAAGCTGCTATTTTACTCCGGTATTCTTTGAGAGCGTGGTCCTTCCCCGGTTGAGCCGACCCTGGCCTGGCCTGGAGCCTGGCTCTACCACGTGTACCTTGATCTAGGTAAGAATTCTTTTACAAATATAAAAAAAATCTGATTTAGGGTTACAAAATATTATCATAATAAAAAAAAACAACGAAGTCGGGAAGTGATTTCCCCGGGCTCTGACCACAGGCCGCGCCAGAATGCTACAGTGTCGGCCTGATTCGGTGCTGGACCCGTTCCACTTACCATTGGTCGCTCTAATGATTCATAGAGCCTCTTCTGATCACTCTGGAAGAGACGATTCTGGTTGAACCGTGTCGACCTCTCGGTATATCGCCGAATCCGCTTTCCCCAAGTAGCGATTCTCTGCTTCAGATCATCTATGCGCTCCGTCAGTTTTTGCGTTATATCCGGCTGGGACAAACTGACATTTGTCCCAGCAAACGCCATCCTGACGGTGCGCACAATTCTTGGCCTGTTGTTGCCTGATCTGAAGCATATCAGTCTGCCGATGAGAGCTCTAGCCTTTGCGATACGTTCCTCAATTCTTCTTCTCCATGCTGGGATAGCGCTACTATGGCCAGTAGCGCGTCCAGCCGTGGAAACTTTGGCGCCTATGATACGGCAGACTGCCAGCGCGGCGCCAAAAAGAATTGAGTCCGTCTCGCAAAGGTCTCGGCTGGCTTGCAAATAGGTAACCAGCATTGGGTTCAGAGCCCTCACGACAGCCTGATTCCGCTTGCTTAGGGTTATGCGGGGAAGTCGCGGTCGATTTTCGAGAGGCGTACTGCGCGTTTCCACAATCGCCTCTTCCAATGTACTCCTCATATGCTCTAATTCCAGTTCCTGGGCGACTGTTCCATCATCGTTTGACTCAACCACAACTGGGGGATTCACGGCGGCATCCACGTTTGCGGGTTGCTCTACCATTTGTGGCGCCGCATCCTCAGCCGGAGCATTCTCATCCGACGAGGGAACAGCCTCACGTCGTAGCCGTTCGAGTTCGGCGACATCAAATATATTTGAGCGCAAGATATACCGAACTCGGTCTGCCAGGTTTTGCTCTGTGACGGTTAAAGATGGCTCCAGCTCAGCAAAAAGACGATGCATCCTAGCCCGATACGCCAAACATCCAGTTTCTTCCCCTTTTGCCCTAAAGTACGCCCGCAGTGCGTTTGCATTCATTGCTTGTGACCAACGCATGCGACGTGCTCCACCAGCGGCGGGTGCCGCTTGCTGACTCCGAGAAGACCCAGCCGACACCAAGCCTTCTGGTGGGGATGATGGATGCGAAGGGCTGCTAGGTGACCGTGCAGCTCCTCGCGCTCGGCTGGCGGCCCGCATGCTGCCGCGTCCAGCGCCAGCTCCAGACGCGCCCCGGCGACCCACAGGAAGCGGCCCTTTGCGCACTATCTTCTTACAAAGCAAACGATATTCAACAGAATTACACAATTGTACCATTGAGCTTGATTTCATACAGAAAGACCCATCTCCTATATTTGAGATTTATTCCTTATATTATGCTTTTTATAACGACTCTAGGACCCAAAACAGAGCTTGCACATTATGAGAACATTTTGATCTGATGTTTTTTGTATGAGTTTAAAATTTTTCACTTTTGGACTTTTTCTTATTTCACAGAGGTTATTTGGAGATGCTAGGAGTCTTTCATGCTGCATAAATACGTGTACCGGAGTCGGCAAACATAAAAAAATCCTGATGTTTCGTTTTACCGCCGTATAATTTCAAATCAGCAAAGACTTCAGATTAAAAATTAAATAAGTATTTTTTATTCTATTCCATTCTATTCTTTCCCATCCTATTTTACCCCCATCATCTTTCCTGTTCTATCCTATCTTATCCTTCTATTCTATTAAAATCTATTCCGGGTTGAATCACCCAAGTACCAACTCTTTCTACTTGACTGCATTCCGCGAAGAATGACTCGAATTTTCGACGAGTTCTCATCTCATATTATTTTAGTACCATTTAATATGGGGAATTATGTTCAACCACCTAGTTTCCCTATCGCACGTTGTGATAATATGTTTAATACCATCACACCATTTGGATGTTTGGTGATCCACCACTGTGTTATTTTTCAGAAGGTTTTCCTTTTCATGTGAAGACACATCGAACGCGAAGCGGAGATGTAGTGCTTTATTGGCACCAAATGAAAAAAGGATTATATACAAATTCAAGACTTTTTTTTTTCAAAGTTTAATTATATAAAATGTGCTATTTTGCTCGATAACTTGTTGCCATCTAGCAACAAGTTATAGTTATACATACACATAGCATCACCTTATTGCGTGTTAATCCGGGTTTCGCTACAGTCTGTGGAGCTTGACTACCCTTTGGCCATGAACGTTCTTGTCGTAGGTGATCAACTTTTCATCACCAGTGATCAATCTTTTCAAAAATGGTTCGATTTCATTACGTTTCAATAGAGAATCGCAAATGAGTACACGATTCATTAGGTTTCTTTCACGGAGCTTGTGTGGTATTCTTCAATAGATTCACTAATTTTCGCGTACAGAAAAACAATTAAAAAATGGCGGTAAAGTGTGTTTTACTTTTTCGTTTTCTTTTTCTTAATGTCTTACATATATTGATATTAAAACCAGCCAGATACAAACGGTACAACCTAAGAGATTTTTCTTCAATGTTATACAAACAAAATACGAGTACGAAGTAACTTTCTCCCCGACCTATTATATACTTCTGACGTAAATAGGTCGCTTTATAAGATTATTTATTTCGAATATTATTAAAAAAAGTTAATTGAAAATAGTTTCATTTGAATATCAATCGGTCGGTATAGATGTGAACAAGATATCTTTCAAAAAACTGAACTTATGGCTTTGATTTTTTTAATTGGTTTTAGATTTTAAAATTTAGGAAGCCGAAAAGAATTTCCCTATTGTAAATTCTCGTCTCGTCCATTAATATTTGACAATTATTTTTGGTACAAAATAACTTTCAAATTAATTAAACAGAGACAATTTTCTTGTAGCTTTAAACGAAATACTTGTTTCGGTAATTAATAAAAGTACACATTATTCAAAACATTATATGAGCGTTCGAGGTGTGGCATTTCCAAACATATCTTTGTATCTCTTATTTTCAGCGATTATGATAGTGACTTGAGATATTCAAGAAGAGAACCTACTCATTCTTCAATGCTGCTGTGATTCCCCTGGTGAGGCGCATTCTCGTTTGTTCCTCTTTTATAAAAAAATCTCTTATTATCCCAAATCCATTGGTTTTGTTTTAGTTTAGTTCTAAACTAGAATCTCGTTCGTTGCTGAGCAGTGTGCATCGCGTGCAGGTGAGGTGTGGATATTTAATTTTTGTATTATGTAAAAATAGCTAACTTTAATTTGTGAGAAATAAATAAATTATTATTATTGGGGGGTATAAATATAGTTTTCTCGTCTGGTTGTGTTCTATAAATATATAATTTTAAATGAAAATGAAAAGATAAATATGCATAAATATCAATAACATAAAATAAATATAAAAATACGTATATAAATAAAAGCCCAACCAGATGGAGGTCCTCGGCAGGGGAGACCAAACGGCCGAGGGTTAGGGGGAAAGGGAAAGAAATCGGCGGACAATGCGGGCGGTATCGAGGAGCACTGCCTTCTGCATTTGAGCCTGGAGCGATCCGTCACGTAGTCCCAGCCGTCTCAGATGTTCTAAGAGGCTGACTGGGATTAGACCGTTTGCAGAGACGACTACAGGAATAATTTCGGTCGGCAGACCACCCCACATGTCGGTCACCTCATGAGCCAGGTTCAGATATTTTGTTTGCTTATCTGTTTCGGCTTTCACGAGGTTCTCGTCATACGGAATGGTAATGTCGACCAAAAATATTCTTGACTGTGCCCGGTCCATCAGCACAATATCAGGCTTATTCGCAAGAATAGTCCTGTCTGTGATGATGGCCCGGTCCCAATAGAGCCTGGCGTGATCATTTTCGAGCACGGCTTCCGGCAAGTACTTGAAATACGGCAATTTCCGATCCACGAGACCGTATTTCAAAGCGAGCTCCTGGTGTAGAATTCTGGCTACTAGGTTGTGCCTGTGCAAGTACTCAGAGTTAGAAAGCGCCGAACAACCGGAGATGACATGCCTAAGTGACTCCCCGGGATGGCGACAAGCGTCGACAGTGCCATCCTTTAGGATGTATCTTCGATAGTTGTTGGTCTTAATAACCTGATCCTGTATTGCACAGACAAAACCCTCGGTTTCCCCGAAAAGATCATCAAAGCGTAGCCAGTGGAGGGAGGCTTCTGTGTCTACGAAAAGCTCATATAGAGCCTTGTAGAACCCCCCCGTAGAGCTCCTTCTCCTTCCATACGGTCTCCCGGTCGGAAATGCTCTGCATTATTATTATTATTTCTTAATTATTGTATGTTTCCCGGGCAAATCCAATTAATTATATAAGCAATTTATATTATTTACTATTTTGTTGGAGTCGTTTACAAACAGTTTGCAACAAAACAACAAAATTGTAAATATTTTAAAAGTTCTTAGCTAGTCCTAGCTAACGAAAAGTAAATAAGATTTTACCTTATTGTTGTTGCCTGATTTAACATTCTCCCATCGCGCATTCACGAAGAGAATGAACATTAAAATAAATACGAGTCCGATGATGCAATACCATACATTTGGCTTGAATGGCAACAGGAACAAATTGTTTTCGTATGATAGTGACGGTTCGCGGAACACGAACTTCGCTGAAGGTGCCGCCGGGTAGTTCATGTATTCTAATACCGGCAACCGCTCTTTAGTAATGAACATTACAGTGCCTGAAATATATACATTTTATGAATACATTTGAATTCAAGTTCAAAAATTTTATCCAATTTAGATTTCTTTAAAGTTCCTACGAATGTCAAAATCTACACCAGTTCGGGAAACGATGTTGTTTTCGTAAATAGACCGTATTCTCTGAAATCGTCTTCTTCTTTGTATAGTCCATTGACATTCCCCCTTTGGCCAGGTCTCTGCCGCCTTAGGGAGTATTTAGCGCAATCGTTTCGTTTGGAAGGCAGATTGGCACACGCAGACCAGACGTCTTGCATAATGGTCGCTGCTCTCCGCCGCCGGTATCAGTAGTTTTCATCTGGCATACAAGATAGCTACACCACTAATGGAAAACCATAAGATCTTCCTGGAATTCTCACGGTGGATTCTTAAAATGCCCGCTTTGTGTGATGCTGCCCATTGATAACGTTCACTTTCGTTTCACGTTTTTTGCTTGGGTTGCTACTATACAGCCTTCTCGGTAGGGAGGAGGAGGCTAAATTTTGGGCTAAAATATTCCCCTTTCTTATTCAGCTTATATTTAGTGGTATATTTTAATATATTTTTTTAATGATAAACATAACAATAAGATAAAAGCTCTTACGTTTGTTAATTAATATAATTAATAGAATTAGGCGTTACTTTGCGGAAATCTATTATATTAAAGATGTTAAGAGAGATTTACTTCGCAATCATCCACGCAATAAAATAAAATGATATGTCTTACCTACTATGAGGAGCACCTCCCGCCCTCCCTCAATTGCGTGCACTAGTCCCGTCACCACTAATCCCAGCACCACTACTCCCAACACCACTATTCCAGGTAAGACACACCATCGACGATAACACGACACGTGTTTTGCCTCTACACGAGGCATCCTCAGGTGATGTAGATCTGCGGTGGCTGACCGCTAAGTATTTTTACGTTTTCTTACGTTTGTTACCCAGAGCTAACCTAGGGATTTCCATTTGGCACGATCCTGATACTCCTCTCTAGGTCTGTCTATATATACGCAAACATGTTGTCGGTTAAGGGTACTCTAGTGCGCTTTTTCTAACTAAACTTTTGGTCACTTAGATACTACTTGATTGCAGACTTATTAACGTGGGATAATACTGCTGAATCAGTTTCCTGTCGAAACTAATTAAATTGTTTGAGTGCTGATTTACTAAGTACTCAGCTGTGAAATGTCGTAAAGAAAACCGTAAAGCTGAGAACAAATTATCGGACGCGTCCGTCAGCCGCGGCTGACTGACGCGGCTTAGCGGTGTGCACGGTAGCTGAGACGGCGTCCTCGGACGCCTCGCTTTGGTCATTCTAGAAAGGTTTTGTCAATCGAGAAACATGACAAACAGTAACAGCGAGGACGAATTTATAAAGTTAGCGGCAGCTGCTTTATGTCGTCCTCCAAAAAATAGGGGACCCAAACACTCCTTGTCCATGATATTAATGTAAAACGACTCGAGTATGATGAATTTCCTAAATTGTATCCAGACTTACAAAAAGATGATAAACGTTATAAAATGTACTTATGAATGTACTAATATGTACTTATAAATATAGGCACTCGTGGCCATGAACACATTCAATTAATTTTTTTTCATTACACATCATGTCGCGAGCGCAGTTGGTTCGCTTGTGACACTCGAAACGTCCGCGGACGCGTCCCGTGCCCCGTTCACACTGTCCGCGGACGCACCAAACATCCAGCCGGCCAGATTCTGTTCGGACGTCCGAACGCTCAAGAGCGACGCAAGGTCATGTCCGCGTCTTACGGCCGATAGTTTGCACAGTGTAGTATTAAATGTACTGGCTAGATCTCAATAAGCCGCGGCTGTCAGCCGCGTCCGTCAGCCGCGTCCGATAATTTGTTCTCAGCTTAACGCTTCGCATACACCTAATCCGTCGTCGGCCGAAGTTTGCTCGGGCGATGACGGCCGAACTCGGACGATCGAATCAAACACTTGTAAAACAAAGAAAGCGCGTACACCAACACGACCGTCATCGTCCGATAACGCACGAAAACGACCGATCAACCGTCCAATCCGAACTTGTTGGGATTTCTCGCTCGACTGCCGCCGTCTACAGTGCAAATTGAATGTATTTATAGTTAAATTTAATCATTTTGTCTTTATTCCATTGTTTCTGTCAGTGTTGTAATCTCCCTAAACGACTATGGATATTGAAAATATAAAAATAGAAAAGAATACCAGCAACGTTCATTGTCGGCACAAGTCGTACACTGTTGCAGTGTAACCACATACACGTCCGAGTTACTCGTCTGGGTAGTTCTGTCCGCCATCGGCCGACAAAATCGGTTTTGGTGTACACGTACCGTTAGGCGTTGTCCTAATTGGCAACGATCGTACGAGCAAACGACGCGATTTCGTCGCACCACGAGATTAAAAACACATATTTATTTAGAGGTTCTAAATACAAGCTTGTAGGTGATCGCGCGAGCACACTAAATTTTTAACAACGATAGGGTTTGGGACTTTTCGTAATTTTAGTTGTCTCGAGTCCCGGGACTTTTAGGTCGAGACTTGAGACGAGACAAAATTGTCGAAATTGTTATGTAATCATTTTTATTTTCAAATAATTGAAGGAGTCCGGCACCATCTGGTGGTTTAATGTGTAATTACTTGGTCTTCTACGTAGCTACTGAGTACACAACACAACAAACGCGTTTGTAGTTGTCGTTGCTTAACGTTATTAAAATTAGTATGATTTTTAATTAAGTTCGTTTTATAACTATAAGATTTATTTGTTTAAAAGTGGCGGTTTTAGGACAAAGGAGAGTTATCTACGCTGCCCGTTGCTCCACTCAGTTGTAGGTTTCCTCACAATGGTTTTGCTTACCGCCGAGCACTAAGTACATTAGAACAACGTATGTGGAGATTGAATTTGTGTGTGAAATGTCTTAAAAGAAATAAACAAAGCAATTATTAAGACTGAAATTAACTTTAAACTTATTAAGATTTAATTTTCTGTTTAATAAATGTTGATTTTTACAAAAACAATGCCTTTTAACATGTTTCATAAAAAAATATTTCAATTAAAATTCTTCAAAAAAACGCTTAACTCTCTTAAAAAATTTTTTTTCTTAACACTCGAAGTCCCGAGAATTCCCGGGACTTTGATTGTTGGCTATCTCGTGTCCCGGAACCTTGAAATTGTCGGGAATTCCCAAACCCTGAACAACGATCATAAGGTCGTGCAATCAAAGCTCTTTTGAGTGTCGTAATTGGTCACGCATTATCACGCGAGCGCAGCAACGTAAGGGCACCGGTGAGTCGAGTTAGAGACGAGTAGAAACCTGAGAGATTTAAGGGAGTAAAAAACTACATCACAGCTATTGTTGAAATGGCGCCGTTGCGTTGACAGCGCGGCAGCATCGCGACATCGCGCGATGGGGTTAGCTTTTAGGAGACATGTTGGAGACACGATGAAAAGATCGTGCGATAAAATATCATCGTTTGATCGTACGATCGATAGCCAATTAGAACTCAGCCCGAATTGCGGAATTATTTTTTTCCTATACCTTATCATTCCACTTTTTTAATTCTGTTGTAATTTTAAACTATCTATAAAACTAAATCGCAAATATTTGTATTAATAACACACCTGCGAACTCAGCTTTGCCTTGAACTAAATCCCCGACCATTCCGTTCCACGTACCATTTAACAAATAACCCCACGTTTCCGCATAAATAATAGCCAATGTTGCATTTGTGAAATCGTATATTGGCATATAGCGAAGAAAACTGGATTTGGTTAAAGTATCTATGTGGATATTCCTGCACGTAAAGGACGTAGAAGTATAGTTATGTAATTATTCAACTAAAGTATGAAATATTATTAGCGACATAAAGTTAAAAATCAAGAAAGAAAATGAGTACTGTAACGTTTCCTTTTGTTATTGACTGACTATGATTTCATGTTGGTTTTTGTTAAATCACAGTTTCTTTTTTAAACAAAAAGTTGACAAGTCAGCACACTGTCCATGTGTTGGACAATGCAGATGTGTTGTGACTATGATAAAATCAAGAAAAGTATGCCGAGGACTAAAATACAATTAGGTGTGTATTCGAACATGTAGTAAAAATTATCAGAATCAGTATTCCAACGTATAGAAATAATTTCACTACCGAAAACTCGACCACACAATATTAAATTAAATTAAAAAAATTATTTAATTATCAAATCGTATGTGTTGAAATAATACTAGTTTTTACGGAATTTATCGCGTGTATTTAACTTTTTAATTACCCGACATTTCGAACGCTTTACAGCACTCATGGTCACGGGCAGGACTGAACTGGGCGTTCGAAACGTCGGGTAATTAAAAAGTTAAATACACGCGATAAATTCCGTAAAAACTAGTATTATTTCAATGTGTAGTGTTCGCGTAAATATAAGAAATCGTATGTGGTTTTATTTTAAATTGAGTGTGTGAGTGAGACCGGTCGAAGCAAACGTAGTAAGGGGTTGGGGAAAATTGGGGCTAAGCAGCACAGGCACATTCTTCGTGGTGACATTTTTTTCATTTGATAGCAAGTTTTTCTAATTCCTTTCACGCATCAAAATGAAAGCAGCTGCAATTTTCTGTGATTTTGCACGGTATTCTGAGTGGGTGAGATTCTTTCCCGGTCGAGCTGATAAATACAGCAGGCATAACGCAGGGTCGTGGTATAAAATTATATAACATAAACATAAACACACACGCCTGTCACTCAAGGGGGTAGGCAGAGATTACGGACTTCCATTTGGCATTATCCTGACACATAGCATAGCATACATGCTCGTCGGTAAGGGTACTCTTAATTTGGCCCATTTTCAAAAAATATATTTTTGGTATTTTTTTCTTTCTACAGGAGAGGGTAAACGAGCTTGCAGCTCACCTGATGATAAGTGATTACTGCCGCCCATGAACTTCTGCACCATCAGGAGAATCACAGATGCGTTGCCGGCCTTTTAAAAAGGCGTATTCTCTTTTCTTGAAGGTCTCCAAGTCGTATCGGTCCGAAAAAATCTCTGGTGATAGTCGATACCACAAGGAAGTTGTGCGAGGAAGAATACTTTTTTAAATCGCACAGTCGTGGATGATAGAGATGGTATGGATGGTATCGCGAGATTTGTCGCGATGTGCGATGGTGAAATTGTGCGGCTGGAATTAGTCCGAACAAATCCCCAGAGCACTCCCCGTGGCAAATGCGATAAAATACGCAAAGATATGCAACATTTCTTCGCAGTGTCCGTAATTCAAGCCGATCGGAAAGAGCTCGGTCACCGAGGATTCGAACGATTCTGCGCTGGATGCGATCAAATGGAAGGAGTTGGCACTGGGGAGCCCCAGCCCAGAGATGGGAACAATATTCCATTTGAGGCCGACCCTGGGTCTTGTAAAGTTGTAGACGGTGTACCGGTACGAAATACTGTCCCGCTCTGCTGAGCACGCCAAGCTTTTTAGAGGCCAATTTGGCCTTCTCTTCCAAGTGACCACGAGACTGCACGTCACTATATATGTCGACGCCGAGAATTCCAATACTGGCTAAGGCAACAAGGGGAGTGCCTTAAAACTGAGGAGATACGATGAAGGGTTATTTTTTCAGTGGTAAACGCGCAAACTTGTTTCTTCTGGGGATTAAACTGGACTAGATTTAGCCGCCCCCAGTCCGAGACTTTGTTCAACAAAGTTTCGACTTCAGACACAAGTTTGTCCGGTACTCTGCGACGTTTTCCCGAAAAATATTGGCATGACCAGTGTATAAAGCATCACCAGTGCTATCTTCTCCACAGCAATGAATGTTACGAGTTTGCAACATGTCATTGATATGCAGAAGAAACAGCGTTGGTGATAGCACGCAGCCTTGTAGAACACCAACTTTAATGGGCTTGTAATCGGAGCATGCACCGTCTACTACAACCTTGATGCTTCGATCAGCAAGAAAACTGGTGATGCAATTGCATAATTTCTCGGGAAGCCCATAGGAAGGAAGCTTCGTAAGAAGCGCTTTGTGCCAAACCCGATCGAAGGCCTTCGCTATCTCCAAACTAACGGCCCACGCCTCCCCCTTAGACTCTACTACCTCTGCTTATTTATGAGTTAGGTAACCCAAAAGATCACCAGCCGAGCGACCGCGACGGAAATCGTACTGGCGGTCACTTATCAGCTGGTGATCCTCAAGGTACCGCATGAGCTGGCTGTTAATAATGGACTCCATTCCTTTAGAGAACTAGGAGGCGAAGACGATAAACCTATAGTTGGACGGATCTGAACGGTTACCTTTTTAAGGGATCGGGTGCACGAAAGCTGTCTTCCATGATTTCATTGATCGGCTAGACCTGGGCAGGACCACGCTCTCACAGAATACCAGCGTAAAATAGCAACTTAATACTGCTGTCTTTCGTATGGTGTTCTAACACCAGAGACCCTTTTTACTGGAATGGAGGCATTCTATCTTAGTCCTCAGGGGTGACAACGCATCTGCATTTTGATTCTTGATTGAAGATAAATATGAATGTCTACGGACCGGAGCATTCACTTACTTTCAGGTGGACTGTGTGCTCGTTTGTTACCCTATTCTTTAAAAAAAAAGAAAGTGCAGAAGTGGGCTTTTGACATGTTGTGTTGAATGAATAAAGTGAATTCACCGACCCAGATGAATGGGGTGGCTTATAAATTGACAGTTAATCGAGAGATCGAAGGATAGGATGTAAAGCTAGAGATTGACACTATCACATTAATATCAACTTCTGTTTTTGCTCTCGTGAGCGAATTCAAACATAATACGTTCGACGTATAAAGTCAGGTAGGCTGTACCTATTCTAACTATTAGGCAACGGGATTGTCAAGCTTCTATACTGTTGTTGACTTGGGAAAAATACAATACATAACATGTCCACAGATAAAAAGTAATGATTTGACTTATACTTAAAAAATTATATTTTTTGGGCAAATACATTTCCGTAGACAGGTACGCTGGTCTCTGATTTAAACTAAAATAAATATTTTTCTGCATAAATATCCACGTGCATATTGTTGTAGCAATTTATACTTAAATCTAAACTCTTATTATTAGATTTCATAAACAACAATCATGTAAGAACATTACCGTATTTCTGGTAACTCAGATTTGGTCCCGTTATCTGTAATTACAACGGACATGGTTATTGGTTCTCTTGACAAATCTTTACGTCTGATAGAAGTAGCGATGTCAATTTCTTTGGACTTATTAAGACCATGTATTGGATCCCAGGTGGCGAAGCTTTCTATAATCCATCCATTTTTCTTTCGTCCAATTTTGTAAGCTATAAAGAGGTAATTCGTTCAGCAGTCAAAAGCTTAGTTGAAGATTATTTATAAATAAAGATAGTGCTATCAACACATACGACACAGACCACGTAGAAAGTTTTGTAAAAAAGGAATTTTTGTAAGAGACACCAGCCAGTAATAAAATAGTAAAAAAATGGTTATTTACATGTATAGTCCACATGGATACAGAATGGGATTAGAAATGGCGCCTCATTTAGCCCGTACCATCAACATGCACAGTTACAATAACGAAAAACCCGCTAATAACGATATATAGTTATAACGTGATATTACACGGTTAATTGGCAATTTTTCTATAAATGAGAAAATATTTGAAAACATTACACATATTAAACATTAATGTAAATTCTCGCATCAAGGTACATTAATTTTAAATTTAATTTATAAATAGCGATCGCTCTGGCTTTGCCTGGGTAGTTTCTAGTAATGTGGCGTTAATTAGACTTAATATTATCAATAAAGCCTATTTATTTTATCTTATCAATGTAACTATTTTAATAAAGTCTATGAATTTTTGGGATAAAATTTAGTCTAGATCACAATCAATCAAAAATCAGCAATCGGTTCAGTTATTTCGAAGTTAGCTCGGACTCGTGTAAATATTTTACACAAAAATATTAACAAACTAAATCAACAATAGCTCTGAAGAAAACTCTCAGAACGCGTCGTAGGTCAAAAATTAGCAAAACTGGACTGATTTTTTTGTAGTTTATGGCATTTTGTTTCTATTGATCGCCGATGATCAAGTTATTCTTGCGTCATCGGCGGCCGAGTTGCAAATGATGGTTACATTAATGAACGGATCATTAAAAGAAAGGGGTATGAAAGTGAACGCAAGTAAGACGAAGGTTATGGTTTTTGAAAGAGAAGAAAGTAAAACGATTTGTGAAATAAGAATAGAAGGGGAGTTGATCGAGCAAGTAGATAAGTTTGTATATTTGGGATGTGTATTCAGCAGGGATGGGAGATATGATAAGGATATTATTGAACGACGAGTAAATGCAGGAAATAAAGTAAATGGGGCTCTACACTCTGTTGTGAAAAGTCAGAATGTGTCAAAAAAGGCACGTATGGCAATTCACAGTGCTGTATTAGTCCCTACTTTAACGTATGGTAGTGAAAGTTGGATGTGGCAGAAGAAGCACGAGAGTAGAATAAATACAGTAGAAATGCGGTCGCTAAGGAGTATGTTAGGGCTGAATCTAAGTGACAGGGTGAGAAACTGTGTGATAAAAGAAGAGTGTGGTTTGCAAGATGATGCGGTGACCAGGATTAAGAAAGGAATGCTTCGGTGGTTTGGTCATGTAGAAAGAATGAATGCGGAAAGACTGACAAAGCAAATATATGTTGCAGAAGTGAATGGAAGAATCGGAAAGGGACGTCCTAGGCGAAAATTTATCGACCAAATTGGCGATTTATTGAAAACGGGCCAAATTAGGAGTACCCTTAACCGACGAGCATGTATGCGTAGGTGTATGGATGTGAAGGAGGCAAGAGAGGTGTGTCAGGATCGTGCCAAATGGAAGTCTCTGCCTACCCCTCTGGGTGACAGGTGTGAGTGTTTATGTTATGTTATGTATTAAGAAATGTTATATAATAAAATAAGAGAGCGGTGGTAGGTCAGGAACTAAACGCTCGCTGTAAATTTCGCAGTACTAGCGCAACCACGTGTTTTATCCGCTATCTGTGCAAGCAATCCTGATTCGATCCCTGCCGCCAACAAAAAATTATTATAAACAATTGAAAGTGCTGATTTACCTAATACGTGCTCGAAGCAAAACGTCGGTAGGGATGCATGTCCAAGGAATAAAATATTTTAAGTATATGGGAAGTTCGCTACTTGTGGGGCTGTGCAGTATACTATAACTCTTTCAGCACCTTATTATTTTTCAAAGAGTAGCCAAATTTAACACTTCAAAAACTTTTCACATACAAAAACTTAAGTTCAAATATCTAAATAATGATATACCGTTATTTTAGTTTTTGAAAATACGAGTAAATAGAGCTTCTACTTTTATTTGAAATTATCCCAAAATGACACACCGCTCGACACTTACGAACGTGTGCGTGTGCAGTCATAATGCATTACCACGCATTTTGAATTTAAAAGATAAAAAGGACAGAATGTATGAGTTTGTTTAAAATTAATTGTTGTTCACCATTTGCCCATATTACTTATTCTGCAAATTTGGCCGGTTATTGCAAATTAACCCTGTATAGAAAAAAAAGCTACTAGCGATCTGCCCAGCTTTGCACGAGTGATTTCTGGATCTCACTGTTAAAACACACATTCTGGAAACAGCGTTATCTACCAGGTCCAATTGCGTATTTAAACCATCTAGGAACCCACTGAAACACACATACAATATATATATATATATATATACATATACAGGGTGTTAGTGTAAACACCGTTATCCTTGAAACCAGTGGTTTGGTTTCATTTATAGAACGTAAATTCAATGAATTTTAAAAAGTTTCTTATGCGCCCGAGTGACGTAAGCACTGTAAAGATCACCGCCAGCGCTAGCTACCTACACAACATTCCAATAAAAACACAATAGATACACATAACCTGTGATGTAACTTTTCCTTCATACTTTCATCCTGGCTTAGGACAGGCAAAAATTGAGTAATTAAGGAAAAATTGAGATTTTACTAAAACAATTATTTTCATTTTATCCGTTTAATTTACTTTAATTTATTTTTATTATTATCCCGACGTTTCGGGTGCTTTACAGCGCCCATGGTCGCGGGGGGGGACTGAGATGTTTGACGTCCCAATGTCATAGTTAGTCCGGCTACCTTCAGTGTTTTAATATTAATTTTTGGTCCGATTTACGCAAAACGAGCTTATAGTATCATGAAGTCTTGCAGTGGTATGCTTGGGTTTGGGTTTAATTTTGTTAATTATAGGATCCCAAGCAGATGGTAGCACCCAACCATCTTCTCTATTGAAATTTGGATGTTTTTTAATTTCAATAGCCTCGCGTATCATCCTTGGTAGGAATCGGTGTTCTTTTGCGAGAATTTGTGGTTTATCAAATCTAATGTAATGGTGGAGACGATCTTGAACATGTTCGCAGACTGCAGACTTCCCGGAGCGTCGGTGCTTCACATCAGCTATATGTTCCTTCACGCGGGTTTTTATAGATCTCTTTGTTTGACCTATGTAAGAGAGACCACATTCAAAATCTACCATTACATTAGATTTGATAAACCACAAATTCTCGCAAAAGAACACCGATTCCTACCAAGGATGATACGCGAGGCTATTGAAATTAAAAAACATCCAAATTTCAATAGAGAAGATGGTTGGGTGCTACCATCTGCTTGGGATCCTATAATTAACAAAATTAAACCCAAACCCAAGCATACCACTGCAAGACTTCATGATACTATAAGCTCGTTTTGCGTAAATCGGACCAAAAATTAATATTAAAACACTGAAGGTAGCCGGACTAACTATGACATTGGGACGTCAAACATCTCAGTCCCCCCCGTGACCATGGGCGCTGTAAAGCACCCGAAACGTCGGGATAATAATAAAAATAAATTAAAGTAATTAAACGCGATAAAATCCGTAAATAATAGTTTTATTCAATGTGTAGTGTTCGCGTAAATTTAAGAAATCATTAAATTGAGATATTACTAAAAAAAATGTTGTTATTTTTCATTGAATTTACGTTCTATATGTGAAACTAAACTACTGGTTTCAAGGGTAACGGTGTTTACTCTAACATCCTGTATACAATATGTAACGTAATTAACGCACACCCTCAGACACCCCAATTAGTATATTATGTTATAATCATAATACATACACTGAATTTTTAGTCAAACATTTTTATGCACTGATCATTTACCAAATTAGTTATAGTAATTCCGGAAGAATGTTGTGGTCACAGTACAAATCCACCAACTCAAAGACATTAACGTGCTTGAAATAAAGTTCATTTTTCTTTATTTTTATTGAATGACAGAATTAGTAATAATACAAATAAAACTGCACTCTTATTCTTTTTTAAAAGTCCTATTGCCTTAAGTTACGGTCCATTTCAGTTTGTTTTGACTGTACAGATTTAGTGTGACTGTAATTTACGTAGTTTTAATTATAATAAATATATATATATATATATAAAAACCTTAACCTATTCAACAAAAAATAAATTTCTACTGGAAACGAGGCATTCTACTCTAGTCTTCAAGGGTAACAAATAATAATGCATATCTGCATTTTGATTCTTAATCGAATATGAATGTAAATGTCTATGGGCCACAGCATCCACATACCATCGGGTGGACTGTGGGCTCGTTTTTCGTCACCCTTATTCTATAAAACATAGTTATAGTACCAATACAATGCGCTTTCTTTAACTTATTACTTATATACTTACGCATATATAATTTAAAAATTTCATCACACATTTGCAGTAAAATCACTTCGGAATCGATCATTATGCTTAAATTTGTAAACTCAGGCCTTATTTCATTATTTTGATTAAGCATTTCTCCTAAAATGAACCAGCGATATGGGTTTTTGAATTTATTACATGAAATTGCCTGAAAAATTAAATAGTATTTTTTTATTACCACGTTTTTATTGTCACTCTCTTGCTTGTCTGTCTGTCGGTCTGCCTGTCGTTCTGAATGAAATCGAGCACTTCCTGATGAGCCAGAGAAAGAAATTTTGAACATAGCTCAGAATTGGATGGCAATGTAGGTGTATGAAAAAAAACCGTGATATGTAAAAAAATTTTGTACAAAATTTAAAAAAAATACACTTGTTTTATACCAAGTTAACAAATGTTTTATTTTTTTTATTTTGTTAATACATAATGCGTACTATAGTGAAATACACTTACATCATACAATATATCACTCATATTTGGGCAGCTTGAATCAGTAAGGAAGATCAAGTTTTTACTCGGCGATTTATTTTCGCAAACTTCATGTTTTGTGATAAATAACACTGTTTTTGGTTTTTCAAGTTTTCCCAACTTATTAGCAAAATTAAGTTTTAAAGCTGCAAAATAAAAGTAATGATCTTAGTTGAACTTTCTCTGGTCGTATCAGATTGCCATCGCTTCGGATTATGAGAGTGAAGGAATAGAGATTGCACCCGTGCTTGCACGCACACTCGTGCACCAAAATCCTGCCCTGCGCAGTGCGGCTAGTCTCCGCTGAGATTAGCCGCCGGGACCGAGATTCGAATTCATTATAGTTCCGGCGGACCAAGACGTAATATCGCCGATTAAAACTATCTTTCAAATAACAACTTTTGACAACCGATAAATGTAATGCTCTGCTGTCTGACGGCTAGGTATTTAGCGGAAGAATTAGAAAAGGGTGATGTTTTGTGAAATTTTTATCTTTTATATTACCAAATAACAGGATCCAGTCATTTGGTAATATAAAAGATAAGAAATTATTTAATATTCCTGATGATGCTTTTATTAAATTAGTGTACTATGGTAATATTGATTTGTAATTTTGCTGTTAGTTATCTAACCTGCCTTTTTAGGGTTTCGTAATCAAACAAAAAGGGACCCTTATAAATTCGCCATGTCCGTCCGTTTGTCTGTCCGCGGTTTTACTGAGACCCTAGGCGCTACAAAGCTTTAATTTTGCATTATTATAGAATATATATATATATATATATATATATATATATATATATATATATATATCAGTGCTTTACGTGGGCGTCCCTCAGGAGTGTGGTTTACGAGAAAGTTCATCACGGTCATGTATACCTTAGGTTTGCATTATCGGGAACTAATAGATAGGGAATTGACTATTTTTGTATGGATTTGGCATGTGAACGATTTGATGTAGATTGTATTATTTTCAATATCGAAAACTTTCTTTTAGTTTTTTATAGGTCCTTCAGTTACTATCGTCCTATTTCGACCAATTTTTAAGCGTTACAGCTGTCGAACCGCGAAATCACTTATATGCTCTTAGTACCAAGAAGGCCCCTTCTAAGTTTACGTATTGTGTCGGATAACTACGAAACCTCTACATTATGCGTGACTCGACACGCACTTGGCCGGTTTTTTATTTATTGTAGATAATGTTACGTACTTTTACCTCTACGAAACCAAAAAATAATTCTGAATTTCAAGAAAAGTAATCGCAAGTTTAAAAATATTTTACAATTAAGAAACGATAATTCGCTAAACAAATATTCAACCTATAATAATTATACATACTATGCTTTTGTAATTAGGTATTGTATTTATTGTAAAAAAATATTTTAGATTTTCGATATCCTACGAAAAAAGTTAACGAAAATGTATTGATTGAAAACTACCTATTATTTAAACTTTATTTATTTAACTTATATATTTTATATAAGATTAGATTTTGGATATCTTACGAAAAAAGTTAACGAAAGAGTGTTGATTGAAAACTACCCATTATTTAAACTATTTATTTTCTAACCAACATGTTTTTAGTTGTATGTTATTTGATAAGTTCTTAAAAATTAAAAAAATAACCAGCTTAATATAAATACAATTTAAACATATAAAATATAATTTTTTACTTACATTTTCGCCAACAAACAACAGCCACTACATCGGTTGGTTTTTCGTATGAATTCACAAGGTCGATAATAATTTTCATCTCTTGCTCAGATGCAGAAAGAGCTACCTTTATATTCAAGATGATAAACATTATTTCTATTATATTGATTGTTAATAAATTCATATTCTAATAAAATGTATATATTACTGCGAAAAGGAAGGGCAGTATATGAATGTTTCAATACGTGTAATTTGCTTAAATATGATCACTTCAAGCGGCGATACAGTAAATTATAAATAATTGCTGGTCTTGTTCAATAATTGTCACTTACATTGCATTTCCTATTCATTTGATAAATGTTGAGGCGGTTCGGATATGAAATGTGTTTCTATTTTGCGTCTAATAATTAACGAAAGCGTTATACATGTAGTTGTAAAGATGCATTCACAATATAACATTTGCTTTACGTAATCTAATAGATAAAAATTAAGTTTTGTTTGTTCGTATTTTATGCGCTGCCATACCGTTCATCAGATTGCGGTAAAACTTTGTCAACATATTGCTTGCATTTACGCGAAAATTATAGGCGTAGTTGGACCCGGTAGGTGGCGCTGTGGCAGAATTCAGATATCACCTGTGTGAAGCCGGGTCAGATTGCTAGTTTGATAAATAAATATTCCACCTTTTCTGATTAACCCTTTAACGTCAACTGCTGATGGTCCTTTACCATACCAGATGTTTAGCGTCTTTAACGATGGTCCCGTCACCAGTCATCAGATCGATGTCAATTTGATAACAAAGTGCACTTCGTGAAATGGGCATTGTAAGAGTCGATGCATGCTACTCTGAATCCGAACTAAACTGCATACTTTTTTTAGGGTAGGCCTATTTTGAGCAGCAAATTTGTTAAGGACTGCGTGGGTGAGTAACGAGAAAAGTTAATAAGAAACTCTCCAATTTTTTGCTACAAATTAGCGATCACTTTGTGTAAAATAATTTGACTGTTATTTCACTCAGCTTTTCCTTCAATTATATGTAATGAGGACTTGCCACAAGTTAAATAGAATTGATTTTTTTAAACATGGATGACGAGTAATACTTATTGAAAGTCATTTATGTTTTTTCCATTGGCTCGGAGAAAGACTATCCTGGGAAGAACGAGCAAGAAACCCAGCGATCCTCTAAAATAATAATTTATAGTGTAGTCCAATTTATTTATATAGCAAGGTAGACATCACGTCGTTCCCAAAGGTATCAATAAAGGTATCAATCAAGTATTAGAAGTACTATAACTATAGTACATATATATCGATGATAACTAATATTATGATAACCCTATTTTTAGAGTACATAAAACATACACATTACATATTGATAGACAACCCCTGCATATTATCCAGGACTTTGTTGTAAAAGCGTGAACAATGACCCATGAAGAAATTACAGATTCGTTATAGTCAAGCAACTACTACTGGGTACAAGTTTGTGCTTTATCTTAGTATTTATATGCAACAGTAACAAGTAACTATTAAGGACGCGTTTACAAAATGGATAGGTATAGAATCGCACTACTACATTGACAAAAGTCACACACACACTAGTGTACGCACGGTTGGCTGTGTGAATCGTAGTCAAATGAAATTATTTTGATAATTTGAAAGATTGAATTTCTTTTTCATTTCTTATACCTATCTCAGAAATATACTTCGATACGAAATATGAATACCTGCTCCAAAGACTGCTTGGCACTGGAAGCCCTCTACTGGTAGTGAGATGTTAGCTCTGGACTTTGAACTGGTTTTGTCAGTTATAATAAGACCTTACCTACCTGCGGACTTGATGGAGTGACCTGAAGGTGTAATTTGGTGATTACAACAGGAACTCCTAGACTAGTGGAACTGGGTGTGCCGAGTTTGGGTTTGTTTTGTTGGTTATGATGAGACCTTACCACCGGACTTGATGGAGTGACCTGAAGGTGTAATTCGGTGATTACAAGTGGAACGCCTAGACTAGTGGAACTAGGTGTGCCGAGTTTGGGTTCGTTTTGTTAGTTATGATGAGACCTTACCATCAGACTTGATGGAGTGACCTGAAGGGGTAATTCAGTAACTACTGCTGGAATTTCTGAACGAGTAGAACTAGGTGTGCCGAATTTGGGCTCCGTTTTGTTAGTTATGACGAGTCCATACCTCCGGACTTGATGGAGTGACCTGAAGGTGTAAATCGGTGATTGCAACTGGAACTCCTAGACTGGTAGAACTAGGTGTGCCGAGTTTGGGTTCGTTTTGTAGGTTATGATGAGACCTTACCACCGGACTTGATGGAGTGACCTGAAGGTGTAGTTCGATGATTACAAGTGGAACTCCTAGACTTGTAGGACTAGATGTGCCGAGTTTGGGTTCGTTTTGTTAGTTATGATGAGACCTTACCACCAGACTTGATGGAATGACCTGAAGGAGTAATTCAGTAACTACTGCTGGAATTTCTGAACCAGTAGAACTAGGTGTGCCGAATTTCACTCCATAAAGTCCGGTGGTAAGGTCTTATCGTAACTAACAAAACGAAACCAAACTCGTCACACCTAGTTCGACTAGTCTAGGAGTTCCATTTGTAACCACCTGATTACACCTTCAGGTCACTCAATCAAGTCCGGTGGTAAGGTCTCATCATAACTAACAAAACGAACCCAAACTCGGCACACCTAGTTCTACCAGTCTAGGAGTTCCAGTTGCAATCACCGATTTACACCTTCAGGTCACTCCATCAAGTCCGGAGGTATGGACTCGTCATAACTAACAAAACGAAGCCCAAATTCGGCACACCTAGTTCTACTCGTTCAGAAATTCCAGCAGTAGTTACTGAATTACCCCTTCAGGTCACTCTATCAAGTCTGGTGGTAAGGTCTCATCATAACTAACAAAACGAACCCAAACTTGGCACACCTAGTCCTACAAGTCCAGGAGTTCCACTTGTAATCACCGAACTACACTTTCAGGTCACTCCATCAAGTCCGGTGGTAAGGTCTCATCATAACCTAAAAAACGAACCCAAACTCGGCACACCTAGTTCTACCAGTCTAGGAGTTCCAGTTGCAATCACCGATTTACACCTTCAGGTCACTCCATCAAGTCCGGAGGTATGGACTCGTCATAACTAACAAAACGGAGCCCAAATTCGCCACCCCTAGTTTTACTCTGCAAGAAGTTCAAATAGCGGTCACGAAAGTACACCTTCAGGTCACGCCATCAAGTCCGGAGGTAAGGTCTCATCATAACCAACAAAACGAGCCCAAACTCGGCACACCTAGTTCCGCTCGTCCAGGAGTTGCAGTAGTAGGTAAGTTTATATATTCTACTTATTTTTAGCTAAATAAAAAACTGTGAGTATAAAAATAATAATTTTATCACTTATCAAGTACTTACGCTTCCAATTTGTTTTTTTCTAATATTTTGTGTATGTACAGCGATCTTTTCAGAATGAGCCGCTGCAAACAGGCGATACAGTGTCCACTCACGACGGCGGCCGAGCGCGGACTGTGGTTTCATCGAAATCTTTGTACAATAAATCAAAGCAGGCACCAACAATAAAATAGCCCTTATTGCAATAGATTATGATTCATCCGTATTACCAAAATATGTGAAAAAATGTGCATCAGTTTTTATTTTTTTTACGACTATTTGTGACATTTTGTTAAAAAATAAACCCAGGGTTTTTTAATTGAATATGTCTGTCATCTTATAGTATTTTTTTAAATTTTTTAAATATGTTGATAATAGACCAAAACATGTACCGAAACACAAGCCGGTATCGTTAATTTTGTAGAAAATGGCAACGAAAGTTCGTTTTTACAATATAAAAACTACTATTTTCAACAAAAGAGTTACAGATGTTTGCAGATGAAGAACCAATCTATACATGGTAGTTTTTACTTATATTTGATTTGGTTTAGTTTTGTCACAAAATGTACCGAAAAACACCCTAATTTTAGTTGATTTGAAAACGCGTCCTTAATATATAAATTTATAATTTACATTAAGAGTTACCTACTTGTTAACAATTGGTGAACATAGATAAAAAAAAATATGACCACGCATAACTTTTTACAAAGTAGTCCGATTTTGATAATTCTTATTTTATTGGATAGGGTATATCTCGAAATTGGTCCCATATAAATTTCGAAAAAAATTCTTACCCCAAGGGTGGGAAAATAGGGGAAATTTATTAAAGAGTAGTCCGATTTTGATAATCCTTTTTTTATTGGATAAATTTGGAAAAAAATTCTTACCCCAAGGGTGTGAAAATAGGGGATATTTATTAATAAGTAATCCGATTTTGATAATTCTTTTTATATTGGATAGGGTACCTCGAAATTGGTCCCGTATAAATTTCGAAAAAAAATTCTTACCCTAAGGGTGGGAAAATAGGTGTTATTTATTAAAGAGTAGTCCGATTTTGATAATCCTTTTTTATTGGATAAATTTGGAAAAAAATTCTTACCCTAAGGGTGGGAAAATAGGGGTTATTTGTTAAAGAGTAGTCCGATTTTGATACTACCTTTTTTTGTTGGGTAGGGTATACCTTGAAATTGGTCCCATATAAATTTGGAAAATAATTTTTACCCTTAGGGTGGGAAAATAGGGGTGATTTATCACAGAGTAGTACGATTTTGACAAATCTTTTTTTGTTGGATTTGTAGTTTGGAAAAATGTTTATAAATATTATAGGGTTGGAAAATAGGGGTGACTTATTACAGAGTAGTCCGAATTTGATAATCATTTTTTATTGAATAGGATATACCTCGAAACCGGTCCCATATAAATTTGAAAAAAAAATTACCTAAGGGTGGGAAAATAGGGGTGATTTATTACAGAGAAGTCCAATTTTGATAATCCTTTTCTTAATGAATAGGGTATACCTCGAAACTGGTCCCATATAAATTTGGAATAAAATTTTTACCTAAAGGTGGGAAAATAGGGGTGATTTATAAAATGTAGTCCAATTTTGAAAATTCTTTTTTTAATGGATAGGATATATAAGTACTTCGAAATTGGTCTCATATAAATTTGGAAAAAATTTTACCCTAAGGGTGGGAAAATAGGGGTGATTTATTGTTTACTTACAGATTTTAATGCTGAGTTGTGTATTACAACATTATATAAAAATTACATTACATTACAAAAACCGCACGATGAATTAGCTTTAGACCTGTCAGTCTCTACTTTTCTGATAAAACTCGTTCATCGTGAGGTTTGTGTAATAACTTATTTGGCTCTTGATCAGATAAAGCAATACCCTCAAGTGTTTTTACTCTGCTCAGTACCACATATGCCTGCCCTAAAAAACAAATAATAGTTAAAGTAGGATTATGTAACAATTAATAGCTAAAGTAAGGTAAGTAGCTTTTTTTAAAAGTAATCATTAATTAAGTATGTAGTAATTAGTAGATTATAGGCACAAAAAATATAAAATGAAAACTTTTTAACAAAAATACTAAACCGCCAAAAAACTAAAAAGCATAAAGTGATGTATGATCAAGATAAATAACTAAAAATTACAAAATAATTTGTTCATGATATTATTGAAACAGTTAATTTCGATTACGAATCAAAATGCAGATGCGTTGTCACCCGTGAGGACTAAGATGGAATCCCTCGTTTCCAGTAAAAAGGTTCTCTGGTTCTCTACACTCACCATACGAAACGCAGCAGCATTAAGCTACTATCTTACGCTGGTATTCTGTGAGCGTGTGGTCCTTCCCCGGTCGAGCCGACCCATTCGTGCTACAACTATACTTCTAATATAACTTCAACATGGCTCTATCACGTATAACTTATATTTTATGAAAAAAAAATGTATCGTTAGATGTCTTTTTTTATAAAATTTTAGTGGCTAACGAATTCACGGACCAACTTCAAGCAAAGAAAGATCCAGATGGTATTAGGGTGGAATACCTCACAGTCTGTTATTGAACTGGCTCTCTATTCTTATCCTTGGCGGCAGAATAAGAATAGAATAGAAGAATAGTAGAGAGGATGGTACTTACTCAGGTGGGCTCCTAGGTAGAAAATGAGTTCTATCTCATAGTTATTTCATAATCAACATGTTTTACCTTTGAATAAAATCTTTTATTTATTATTATAATAGTATAATATATCCAATTGATAATTGCAAAAGTTAAACACCCTGTTGGCAACAAAGGGTTTCCATCGGGTCGTCTCACCTTGGAGCCAGTCGAAGACCGCCGTCGAGTCCGTCCAGCCATAAATATCCCGTTCATGTTGACTAAAAGCTTCTGTTACTTTTTTCTTTAGTTTTGATAGTAAATTAGCCCCACAGAGTTCTAGTCTAGGGAGTAGTGTTAGGAGTAGTAGCTTCTAACATCGCCTGCTTCCCCCTTTCATAAGCGTGACTTAGAAATGAGGATATTCGCAGTAGAACCATAGTAACCGACATAGCCCAACGTATCAGTAAGCTGAAGTGACAATGTGCCGGTCATAATGCTCTAATAACCGAAAACCGATGGGGAAGCAAGGTTCTCGAGTGGCAACCTTGTACCGGTAGGCGAAGTGTGGAGCGGCCCCCACTAGATGGAGTAACGACCTGGTAGGACATGCAGGAAGTCTATGAATACAGGTGGCTCAGGACCGTGCCTTGCGGCATTCTTCGGAGGAGGCCTATGTTCAGCAGTGGACTTTTAAAGGGCTGTAATGACGATGATGAAGTGCAATGTACAAAAGGGAAGGAGAGAAAAAGGTGCCTTAGAATATTTCATACAATAAGCCCAAGCAGTAGCCATAAAGGTATAAGATATAACAAGTTGTCTTGTTATTTTTTTGACTTATTATAAGCCAGTGTTTAACCACAACCCCTCCAGGTGGTAAGTGGTGATGAACCCTAGATGGTAAATCGCACTGTCTTAACGTAACAAAAGCCTATTCACTCTTGTTTTTAAGAAGCCCAAATTGTATTCGGATGGAAAGACTCCGGGAAATTATTCCACTCCTTCGCTGTACGCATTACAAAAGAAGAAGCAAACCGTTTGGTTTTAATGCGTGGAATATCGGGGTCATCAACAAAGGGGTGAAGACTCGCCAACCGTCTGGTTGTACGACGGCAGAAAGGGGAGGAAGGAATTAAAGCGTATAATTCCTGCGTACTTTCATCAAAATGCATTCTATATTGGAAGCTGATTTGACATTCGCATTTTCCATATCTTCGCTAGACAATCTACCTGTACCTTTTTTATCCTACTTCTTTACTATCCTGTACAACGAAATTAATAAAATAAGTTGTGGTTTCAAATATTTTTATTTAAATAAAAGACAAACACAGAAGTAAAATAATTGCTTAGAATCGCGTCCTGAATAAAAAAGTCACGGAATTGCTTTTTTTTATAGAATATGAGTGACAAACGAGCACACAGTCCACCTAATGGTAAGTGGATGCTATAGCCCATAGACGTCTTAATCCATTCTCAATTAAGAATCAAAACGCAGATGCGTTGCCACCCCTGAGGACTAAGATGGAATACCTCGTCATACGAAATACAGCAGCGTATAACTGCTAATTTACGCTGATATTCTGTGAGAGCGTGGTCTTTCCCCGGTCAAGCCGACCGTTCGTGCTACAACCATACAAATAATATGGCTCCAGCAAGGCTCTACCACGTATAAAATACGCTATATTTTATACGATTTTGATGAGACAATTGTTCATTCATTATTCAAAAGCGCATGTTTCCTGTTTTTTTAATTTTTTTTTACTTCGATAAATGGCACTACTATTGTTGATCGAAGTTTTTTAAATTTCGTACCATCTTACTTCTGTATTAATTTCAAGTTAGTATGAAGTTCAGCTACCTGCCCTTTAGCTAGTTAGTCTTTAATTAGTCTTGTTATCTTGCTGTACTTTTATTTAATTAAATTAATTCAACTTTCTTTATTTTAATTTTATTTTAATTTGGTGCTACATACATTTTAGCGGACGGATTGCGGATAAACTTTAGATTAGTCAGCTTAGCATGAATAAATATAACGTTAGCCTATTACACTCAAAACTAAACCTTAATATAACCAGCTAAAGTTCATTATTTTACACTACTATTATTAGTAACAACAAGCGTATCTAAACATTCAAGAAATTATTTTTAATTTCATATGAATAATTATATTCTTCTTATTAGCCTATACATTACTTTTTCCATTTATTGTATAGAAACTCCATCATTAGCACGACCATTGCAATTACAGTTCCATAAGAAAGCGCCAAAAGTGCTGGATAGCAGTCGACCATGCTTACTGAAACAAAATTTGCTTCTCTTCCTGAGCATCTAGGTTTATGTTCGTATAGAAGACGATTTTGTCTATTTTGTAGACCATGCTCGTGAATACGTTTTGTTCTGTAAAATATAAACGGTGTTTTGAAGCATGCTGATAAAAATTGGTCAAGTCTTAGCTATACCAGGCCTATATCACTTTTGCTACCTACGTGAAATAATTACCTAAAATAGACGATCGACGACCGCCCGGGCGAAATAACGCAGTCAGAGCTAGCGCGTTGGGGGCGATTGAATGTTAAAGTTTTTTAACGCTGTTTACGTATATAACCTTTTGTAAATATTGTTGAAGTAGTTTTTGTTTAGTGTTTAGTATATTTAATTATAGGATAAAATAGTCCAAAAGTTTTAATGTAATTTAAGAACGATATATTAAGTATATTACCCATTATTTAATAACTTTTAATATGGCAAAACGTCGTTCCTACTATAATTATTGCGTGGATAGACGCTAAATGACCAACAAAATATTTCAGATATATCATTCTTTATTATCGAAGAATTTTAGTAGGAAGTTATGAAACGTGAATTTATTTAATTTTTATTGTTAGACAGGTACTTATAGCAAAAAAGAATTAAGTAATAATTTATTTAATATCTACGAACTTTATTACAAAATTTAGTGAAAATTTACTTCACTATCCAAGTTTCTACTTACGTACATATACTTGCCTTTTGTATTAAAATATTTTAAGCTGTTATTTTAGCTTAAAATATTTTAAGCTAAAATAACACAATACACTGAAATCAAAACTTTGTTTACCAACAAAATTTTAACTAAGTAGAATACGATTACATTTCTGTTAGGAATAGTATTTCAAGTTTATTTGTTGTTTACGCTATCTACCTTTTCCTTCCGAGCCAAGCGTCGCGATTCCCGACGAATGGCCTTGCAAATTGCATGCGTTAGGCATCGCAGAACTCACGTAGGTGCGAAATTATGGTCTGTCGATCATAGTCAGAATAGGTATTTCACCTAAGTAACCTAATTAATATTTCGCAATATATTTTGTTACTCTTTATTGACATCCCTCCGTAACAACGGAAAGTCCACCGTAACGTAGAAAGAGGAAAATGTGCAAAGTAATACGGACACTCTCGCGCAGCGATAAAGTTTATTTAGCTTGCGAGCGCGATTTATCTAATTAATAATAATTATGTAGTCTAGTTATTAATAATTAAGTAGGTTAATAATTGCTGTATATTATATATATATAATAGACTCTGGCTAAGGTTTTAATGCAAGAACTACATATTACCATACGTCGATATTTAGATGTGTTTTAACGGGGATTTAAGGTGTGTAACCAATTTTCTCTAAAATGGCAACGACACCAGCATTTGGGCACCCTATTAATTAGGAAACAAGGTTCTAACGATCATAATGGCAGTATATGTATCAATTTGAAAATACCATGATAAAAGTACAAATTACAGACTGTAAAGCATTCCATCTTAATTCTCAGACGAGGACAGAACATCTGTACCATAGAAAAAACAGAATAGTAGGCTATCTTCTAAGAAATGTACCGAACGCCGCTAATATGTGTGCGTGCCTGGCACGTGACAGTACGGACTCGTACGCACGAGCCACAGCACGCACGCAGCGATACTTTTAAATCGGAAAGGTCTGGCCGAGACGGGGACGGCTACCGCCGCGCCCCGCAATCACGTTTGTTTGAGACTTTGTTGACTTTTAATAAAATTTTGATAGCAGTCTTTTTTTTTTCGTTTTATTTTTTATTTTTATAAAATAAATTAATTTATGGGTTTGATTAAGTAAATTAGCTTTTTATTAATAGGTTATATTACTATATCTATACATAAATTCATACCTCTTATGTACATTATCATATCACATCACATCATACCATATGATCAGTGTTAATTTACTCGTATTTTAGTTATTTGGCATATGCTGTAATGTAAAGTCGGATTATTTTTACAAACATTGATTTTTGAGAGGAAACTAAAGAAATGATTAACAAATATGATGCATATGTACGTATTCGTAAGTATTATATTTGTAAATATTATAACTAAGTATAAAACTAAATGAGACTTAGCTGTTAAACAAAAAGACAGTGACAACCCTGCAACAGTAGGCATTTAAGTCTCGCGCGGCTCGGGAGTTTCCTACTACTCTGTTTTTACTATGTCTATACTCTTCTTTGTTTGAAGTTGGCTGCAGACGCCTCAGTAGGCAAACTGCAGTCAGTAGCCAATTATCATCAAGTGGACTTAAAGTTCGTTTGCTACCTTAGTGTTATATTAAAAGTAAAGATACTCTACGGCACTGAAAATTTCGGGAATCAAGGAAGTGACACAACATTACTATTTAAAAATATATTTATTGCTTTTCGAAGTATTCTCCGCGAAATTTGACACATTTTTCCATACGATGGAACCAATCATTGAAGCAACCATTCCATTCGGAAGTTGGGGTCTCCAAAATGGCCGTTTTGCAGGCGTCCACAGCTTCTTCAGGTGATGAAAATCTCTGTCCACGCAATTTATTCTTTATTTTAGGGAAAGTATAGAAATTATTAGGGCTTAGGTCGGGGCTGAATGGCGGATGGTCTAATAACTCAATGTTTTCTTGCTCTAAAAACTCTTTTGTTCTGTGTGCGGTGTGAGAACTCGCATTGTCGTGATGGAGGATGATGCGGCGGTTGCAGTTCTCTTTACGGAGTTCAGAAACGACCTGTGACAAACAAATACTAGCATATCATTCTGCATTAACCGTTCTTTGTCCCTCAAGAGGAATAGTCGTAACATGGCCACCATTTTTTTTGCAACACTCCGTGAACGAACAATTTTTGTTGGCTTTAACTCATTTTCGAACACCCAAACTTGTGACTGGTTTTTTGTTTCGGGTTCGTACGCGTATATCCAGGATTCGTCACCTAATACAATGTTGTATACAGCATTTGAGGATCCTGCGTGGAATTTTTCGAGAGTTCTGACGCACCAAGTAACGCGAGCCGCTTTTTGCTCTTCACAGAGCGAATGCGAAATTTTTACACCTAATTGGTCATGCAAGATTATTTGTATTTGATTCATGCCAATGTCTAAAGTTGCCTGAATATCGCGGTATGTCGCATGTCGATCTTCCTCAATTAGCTTATGCACAGCATCAACGTTTTCTTGGATGACTGCAGTTTTTGGACGACCTTGACGGGGATCATCACTGAGCTTGACACGTCCACGTTGAAATTCAGCAAACCAGCGATAAATTGTGGTTTTGGATGGGGCTTCATCACCAAATGCAGAAATCATCCGGTCAACACACTGTTTTTCTGTTAAACCACTTCGAAAGTCATAATAAATAATCGCTCTTGAATTTTCTCGCATCAATTCCATTTTCTCAACGACTAAACAAGTTTGACAAAACCTTGTGACAAGACCGAGAATCTTTTTTTAAATAAATAAATGGTATTCGATTTTTAAAACCAAGGAGTTTTCAATTAAAAAGATTTTAATATGACAGGAACAGTGGAAATATTCCATTCCCGATACTTTTAGTGCATTCTGTGTATTTATTCGTACTATGATTACGAATAGATATTTCAAACATTAATATCTCAAACATGAAAATTCAATATTTTGTTTATTTTAAATATTTAGACTTACCCGATTTTAAACATTTCCATAAATGGAGTGTTTTTACGAACAGCTAACCAAGGATCGATTACTTGAAGATATTGTATTTCTTGGAGTCCGCATTTTTCACCTTCCTCAAAATATTTTCCCACGAACTTGTATCCAACACCAGTTTCCATATGAAATGCAAATAAACCCTATAAGTGAATTGGTAAAGGTTAGAATACACAATGCAAGACCTATTACCATACGGCACCGTAAACGCCAATCACAAAAAAAATTGTGATTGTCATCGATTGTTACGCTTCCCGTAAAACAAGTATCTGTAAATGTCCTATCATCAAACATCACAGAAGATCTTGCAAATCAGAAAGTGATATAAGTATTTTTATATTTTTCCAATTAAGAGGCTGGTGAAATAAATTAAAGACGTGCTGTGGTGACAACCTTACTATAATCACTATACCCACAAAGCAAAGAATATATTATAACTCCATAGAAGTAACAGAATATAATGTTATATGATCTGACCACAATATTGAAGAATAGAAAGGACAAGTGATAAAATTAAAAATTTTGCACAACCGACTTCAATATAAACAAAATGAGAACATTCGAAGTCAATCATAGTTAAATACGCATTATTAAAGATAAGTAACTCAAAAATTACTGGTCAGTTTTTGGTCACATTTAAACAGGACCATACGAGAAGCACCAGATTTCAAATAAAAAAAGAATCATCAAAAACAGTTCACCTAGAAAAACAGTTCAGAAATAATACGCATAAAAATATAGTCGAATTGAAAAGTTATTTCTTTAAAAAAAAATCTATTAAAAATATTATAACCCGCTGTTAGTAAAGATGGCATGCAATGTAAGTATTTAAAACGTTTTTACCTGTCTCATTTTCTTAACGCCTTCCTCAATCGACATGAATCGAGGTTTCACACCCGGTGGCGCTATTTTTGTGTCGTAAATAGCTTTTCTTGTTGGTTCTGTCGCCGTCTATTATTTTTCATAAAGAATAGGTAAATTCATTAAATGAATATAAATATACTATTAAGTACTTTTCTATGTGATGAATGCGTAGGATAATCTAAAATTTTGTGGTAGTAGTAAGTGGCAACTATAAATAAATAAATATATTAAAAAAACTAGAGGTCTTGTGCTTCACATTCTCGTTGTCGAGAGCAAGTCAACCAGAACATTTACTGTATTTCTTTCGCAAATTTTTATTAATGAATACCAGCGTAAAATAGCAGCTTAATGCTGCTGTGTTTTGTATGGTGAGTGTAGACGAAGACACTTTTTACTGGAAACAAGGCAATCCATCTCAGTCCTCAGTCTGGTATCGCATCTGCATTTTGATTCTTAATTGAAGATAAATGTAGATGTCTATGGGCAACAGCATCCATTTACCATCAAGTATTCTGTGTGATTGTTTGTCACCCTTATTCTATAAAAAATGTAAATGTTTTTAAATTCTTGAAGAATTGTTAAGAAAATTATTAAAAGTTGTATTGTGATAAGGAAAAAATATTGAGCGTTATTATTTATAATTTAATCTCCCCTACCCCTCTGAATAAGATCCCTCAATGAATAGACCTCAAAGTCAGAGTTTTCAATTTTGAATTACTCATCTCTGTAGTAATTTAAGTGTTAAGCGTGTTAAGTATCAATTAGTCTATATTAACAATGGTTAGTAATCAACAACAATACATAAAATAATATTAAATAAAGTCCATTAGTAAAAACAAGTATTTAATATTAATTAGGTACATATAGTACTTATGGTAATTGTCTTATAAGTAACTTCTTACCAAGCATAAAGTGTCGTGTGTAAATGACTTATTGAGATCAAAGTTTGCGATCTCTAGATGCTATTCCACAATTCCTAGATGCTATTCCAAATAATTTTGAATATAATTTTACCCATTGAATAAAAAAGACAATAAACGTATTGACCTAAGATCCTACCGAGAAATAATATCTGTTGTAAACGGTATCATGAACTCCAAATTTGATTCTTGTATGAAGCAAGTCCTCGAGCGTTTTTATTTGCGAAGAACTGGACTGCAGAAGTGCTACAATGTTGGCAGCGTACGAGGTGTAGAGAAACATGACCGTCAGGAACAGAACCAGCATTACAATCCGACCTAAGGAACCTGCATTAAAGAATGTCCTTCATCAGAGCCAGTAAAGTCTAGAAATCTAAAATAAGAAAAATAACTTTAAATATAAGTATGTACTGTTTTATATAGACATATTAAAATTAGACATGGGCCGAATATGGATTTCACTAATTACGAATTTTCAGCCGAAAGTTCGGTAAAACTTACCGAACTGAATATTCAGCCGAACATTATTCGGCAGCATCACTTTGGTACACAACCAATTTATGTCGAAACTTGTTATCGTAAAGCTCGCGGAATTAGCGCCGTACCCTGCCCCTCGGTGCTGAGCAAATTGCCGACACATTCTTTTGTTTTGACATTTTTTGTGAAAAAAAGTATTTCGTTTTGTTATTCTTAGTGAAAATTGTTTATTATATGATAAAAATGAATGGCAGGAGATCTACTATTTGTACTATTTTAGAGAAACTAAAGGGGAGATAGATGTGCGAGTAAGTTCGCAAAGTGGCTCGACGACCTTTCTCGCTGGTGTGTCACCCTAAGTAAAGAATATATACACTACGCGAACCCTAAGTGTACTTTACAACCACCGAGTAAGTTCGTTGGCGATCCGACAAATTCGAAAGGGGGATGCCCACTGTTCATAGACACTTCGGCCATGGGTGCCCACATATAAAAGCATATGGAAATGATAATATGCAATTAAAATAATGAAATGGTTAAGGAATTGGTTTAAAAAAAGTCGGGATTTTTATGATATAAAGCTTTTTATTTTCACAAATACAGCTTTTTAACGACTACTTTTACCAATTTTATTGCTTTTAATTTCTTTAACTTTTAATTCCCGACGCGTGATTTTTTCTTTTGGAGGCCTATGCCAAAAGGCACACCGAACAGAGGGACTTACTTTAACTAGTATTACAATAGGAACTCAAACACAAATATTATGTAACCCCAAAGTTCGGAAATAAATGGCTATATTATTATTATTATACTATTATTATTAATTCCTGACGTTTCAGGTGCTTTATAGCACCCATGGTCACGGGGTACTGAGGTGACTGCCATCCCAATGTCAGTATTGGGACATGGAGTACCTTCAGCTTTTTATTATTATTTTTATAGTCCAATCTACGCAGATTGAACTTACTCTATCTTTAAGTCTTGCAGTGGTATGCTTGGGGTTTGTTTTAATTTTATTAATTATAGTGTCCCAAGCAGGTGGCAGTACCCAACCGCCTTCTCTACTGAAATTAGGATGTTTTTAATTTCAGTAGCCTCACATATCATCCTTGGTAGGAATTAATGTTCTTTAACGAGGATTTGTGGTCTATCAAATCTGATGTATGTCTATCTGGTTGGGGTGACACCCTTGACATACGGTAGTACAGCAGCCACACGCTCAACTGCGGTCGGCTTCACTCGGTCACTGTGACGAAGACGTGGGACCCGAAGCTTGATTTTGTGCAGAACCTGCTTAACGTGCTGAAGCTCCGCGGCCTGGTGCTTGTTCTCACAGATCCCATATGTTCTCTGTAACAAAGATTTGCTCATGGTAACTAACTGTGAAGGATTATGGTGAGATTCGCCGCTTAAATATCAGTTTGTATGGATCTTTTTTCTATACACAGTGTGACCTATGATGTTGTTAGGATTTTGGATAACAAAAACATCTAGGAAAGCTAAGAAATTATTTGCCTCAGATATAATATCATAATTACTGAATAGAATTTGGCACAGAGAGTGGTAACGATGGATAAAATTCATAGGAACAACATCCTGATTTAATATTTCTTGGGTCATATTCATGAGCCGCTCTAATTTGTTTCTTGGTACTTGCAATAATGCCTATATGCATTCATCACTATCTCCTGTTTTTACTTTTATCAAATATACAGCAAGTGCAAAGCATCCACTATGTTTACTTGACATTTTGGGCACTTCAGACAGAATTTATTGGCATTGTGCCTTTGATAAGCGTAGATAATAATGTACAGTATATTCGGGCATATTGTAAATATTTTCAAAGTCTATATGATGGTAAATATTATCTTACAATAATGTAGAAAAATCTATAATTTGTGCTACACTAAATGTTTTAATATGGTTATATATTAATTCTAAAAGTAAATACCAAGAGTTACTATTTAAATGGTAGTTACTGATTCTACATTCTGGAGGTACATAGTAATTGTATTCACAAAAATTCATACCCGCAATGCTGATGGAACAGTGAGTTGATTGGAATTGTTACAACCAGGAAAAAACATTGATTTTGTGTGAGTGGTGCTCTTACAAAATTAGGCAGCAGTATATTGTATGATGTATGATCTAAGCTTTGTTGTTCTAGGTTCAACATATTACTCACTTTAGATTGCTACAAGGATGGACTAGATGATTCAGATGGTTCCCGTTCTAAAGTTTAACGTGTTGCTGCTTTATCAATCCTTCGCAATCATGACACTCACGCGATGACGATGGCAACTGAAATAATATTAAATAAAAAAAAATAAGACAAAGTGAACAAAATAAAATAGATTTGTTTACTTTAAACTCAAATATAGGTAAATGTTACTTAAAACTTAATGCCCTATATTATTTAATAATTAAGGACTGACTGCCTACCAGTAGTCCAAAAACAATTAAAAATCGACTGTCTTATTTCTTGGTATTTGATAAAAATTGTCCATTTCGTAACTATCTGGTGTTAGCTAGCTAATCTTATCGCCGTGTTACAAATAAGCTATTTTGTTTGTCAGGTATAGCTTGTGCATATGTTAAAAAATAAAACAACTTCATAATTTCATACATTCATCACTATCAAATATCAGCACTAGAATTAATAAATTAAAAACTGTTGAACACTTACTTTTAACTGTTGTCACACTATAATGTGATCGACAATCTCACTCCATATGAGTTCTTGAGAATTTATTTGAAAAATAACAAACAAAATAACACAATGGCAACTATTTAGTTGTGAATTCACTAGTACCTTTTTACTTGTTGAATTGTGATTTCATTTCGCATGACATATTTCCTATAGCTGTCAGATTTGATGTTGCCAAATAACTAACATAAATACAACGAAACGATATCGATTTGTATTCGATTAGTAATTTAATGAAAAAATAATAATATTTGAGTTTCGCTTTCAGTTCTACACGCTTTTTAAAATATATTTTCTTTTATTTTTTTAAATTATGTTTTAAACGTATTTTTAAAAACAGTTAAAATGTGGAGTAGCGTATTGTTATGCTCTAAACAGTTCATAGTAAATCAGCTAAAAATTCACTTGTTTAATTATCATAACATGATTCCATTTTAAATGTATTGTTAAAACAGATAACAATAACAGTTAAATTGTGCAGTAGCATTTTATTGTACTCTAAGGAATTCATAGTAAATCAGCTAGTAATTCGCTTGTTTAATTATCATAACATCATAATATCCATAGCGATTCGATTATTATTCGATTAATAATTTCATAAAAAGAGAATAATCTTGGAGGTGTTTTAACTTCTGCTCGCTTTTTAAAATGTATCTTCCTTTTTTATTTAAATTCTATTTTAAGTGTATTTTTAAGAACAGTTAATTGTGCAGTAGTGTTTTATGAAGCTCTAAAAAATTCATGGTATATCAGCTAGAAATTCACTTGTTTAATTATCGTAACATGATTTCATTTTAAATGTATTGTTAAGAAAAGATAAGAATAACAGTTATATTGTGCAGTAGCGTTATGTTATACTGCATAGAATTCATTGTAAATCAGCTATTAAATCGCTTATTTAATTATCATAACTACAGATGTGAAGGCGGTTGTTAACGTTTTCAACCAAGCCGATAACAACGGTTGTTTTTGTCTTGAAATTGATAAAAATTGTGCAGTTGCGTTTTGTTAAGCTTTAACCTTTTGAGCGCCACGCCAAAAACGCATTACCGTGTCCTGTACGCCAAAGCGCCAAAACAAAATAGTGTTGCCAAGAGTTGATATATCGATAACGTGAAATAACTTGTTTTTGTTGGTTTTTTATGTTATAAATGACTCTTAATAAACTGTATGTTTTATTTAATCTTGTGCCGTCTTCCACTCTTTTTATATATGTACTTTGTACATATAAACATAAATATAAAACAAACAATAACAATAAAACAGTAGTAAACATTAGCACTACTCTCCATCCTAATGACGACACTGTCGCGACTGGACGACAACGGCGTAGCTGACCTTCCCTTTTGAAACATTCTTAGAATGTTGTGTATCGATTTCAAAATCGATCTAACCGAAATATACAGACATCGATTCATAATATTTTATGAGTCGGGGAAGGCGTAGGCCAAGTGACGCACAGAAGAAAAGTCTTACACTCTTATGACAATGGGGATTTGATATGATGCTGATGCTGCTAGATGATTTTGAGACTGAGAAAGAAAATGGCACAACACAAAATGAAAAATTGCTCTTCACACCCTAAGTAAAAAAACATTAATTGTAATTTTGTATTATTAATAAAAAAGGTACATAATTATTCATTAATCAACAATTGTATATAATTATTCGCACTAGGTAAATCAGCCTTATAATATTAAAATCTTGGTCATGGAATAAATAAACATATTTGTTCACCAATCAATCAAAAATTCAATTCATCAATCAAAAATCAAAATTCATCATCATCGACGCTTTCCAAAATCCGAATGAGTTCTGAGGAATCGTTCATGTTGCATTGCTCTACTTTTCTCGGTAATCACTTATGACGTCATCAGGGTGTCGTCTATCCTTGATCACGGTGCCCAGTGAACTGATTTTCGATGACGCGCTAAAGATGCGCTAGAGTTGAGATATTAGATTTATTATGCGAAGATAATCTGATAACATTTTTTTATTCATGTAGCTAATTGTAGTTTTATGTTTATAACCTTTAATTTTATTCAAATATCAATAATAATAGAAAAAAAAACACCATTGAGCTGAATTTTGGATAGTTTTCAAGAAATCCATGCCTCCCGCGTTTGACACTAGCGGTCAACCA